GGAAAACTAAAGGGATGAGTTAGTGATGAATCAGTTAGGTTAAAGAATTTAAAAAATATATATATTTTTTAATAATTTCGGTTATTCACTTTAATCGATTTTTTTATAAAAAAACCAAACTCGAAATCAAAAACCAGCTATATTGTGGTTCGAATTATTTTTTTTTAATTTCTAAAGAAAAAACCGCACAAAAATTAGTATTTCTATACAGTTTGATCCAATTATTCAAATTTTACCAAACAGTAAACACCCTTACATGTATCTAGCACATATAAAGAATTAATGGTGAATTGGATACACGGTGGTGTTAAGAAATTTTCTTGAGTAGAGGTACGAACTAAATGAAAAGATAGTAGAGGATCCATATATACATATACACACACAATTAAGTGATTAACCCCATTATGGTATATCCAAATCCTTCGGCTCCATCGAGTTTCGAGTAAAAAAGCCTCCCGTGATGGGCTTGGACGTAAGCTTAGGAATATAAGGCACGCTAGGAAGTTAAAAAAAAGCGAGATGCTACTCTTGATGCATTACACCAATTTTATCAAGCCCACTATATTTTGGGCTCATACCTTACCCTAAAGAATTCAAGTTCGAAACTTTTAAAACCCAATATACCCCCAGTTTTAAATTTTAATTCATTGGACCGACACTTAATAAGAGCCAAGCCTAGAGAGAATCGATCGTGAGATTGTTTATCTTGAAATGCTTTGTGCATGCCAAGCAATAAAGTTTAGCAGCAATGAATCACACATATCCATTTGACCATTTACATTTGCAAACTACAAAGTATTATAAACAAATTTTCTCAAGCAACAGTATAGCTCTCTTTCTTTATTTGGGTTTTCGGCTACCGGTGAGGTGCTATCATCAAAGATGGATGATGGGCTTGGGGCTGTGTCTAGATCCCGAAGGGGTCTGAGTTTTGTCAATGTGCATGCAATTGTGTCCACGGAAGAACAAGTTTACATGAATTTGATCGAGCATTGGAATTTTTTAACAAAATGAGTTAAATGTGGCATCGCCTCTAATTTACCTTCAACTATACTTACAATCAAGACCATGCAAGAATATTGATCTCCACAAAGATTTCTCGTTCTTCTTCAACTATATATTCAAATGAACATTTTTTTCCCCTTCAAACATAAGTACTACTGCCACAAGGCCACAGCGTCGAACTAAAAAAGACAAGAAGAAAAAAGGTTTGGTAATTGCCAAGCTTCAACCCCATTTCAGTTATGAAATTGACTTTCTTTTTTACACAAATAAGGTAATTTAGATTTCGTTTCATTGAGAAAAAAAAAAAAAAAAGTCATATTCTTCTATATTTGGTTCGATTTGAAAAACTTGGTTAATGGAAACATTTTCCAAACAAAGATAATTAAAACAAGTTTAGAAGTCAGGAAAAATACTTTATCGTTCTCAAACAAAATCATAGATTTCACCACCCAACTCCAATAATTAAAACAAATATGCACAAACACACTGAAAACTTATTCCACTAATAACATTATTTTCCTTTTTTGATTCATACTTAGATTCTAAAATTAAAAGATTGAAACTAATCACTAACCCAAGATCGGAATATTTAGAGGACTTCTCTAACCAAATAAGTAATTCTTAGTAAAATTGTTTTTTTCCCCTTCAAATCTGAAGACTTTGCTTTATGCGAAGGCTATTGATTAAATATTGGATAGAAATGGGTGAAATACCCATTTTTTGAGGAAAAAAAAAGATTCAAATCATTTTTCGACAAGAGTGTTCTATACAAAAAATAATTTCAAACTATTCATTTTAAATCTTTTTATATACGTATTAACATATTAGTGGAATGAGTAACATTTTTTATCTAGATTTCAAATAGTTTAATTTTAACTTAGTTAAATGGTTTAACATTACTAGTTGATAAAGAATCAAAATCTATTTACCGATCAATCGGGAAATGCTTTGATTCTTGTAGATGTTTTCTTAATTTATTCAAGAATAATTCGGAACATGCACCTTTTCTTTCTAGTTAAATTTCTTAGTTTAAATGGAAAAAAATGCAACTGGTTCAACCTTGCTTATTCTTGAAATAAGCAACTCAGACCCTTTCTTTTCAATATATATATATATACACACACACACCAAGACTGCATTTAGATTTATTGAATTTGTTGCTAAAATATCAGTATTAAATTCAAAACTCCCGAAGAATGACCAATGATCCAAGAAAACAAAAGAATCGGTTATATTTTTTATACAATCTCCTCCTTTTTTATAAATCTTATAGACAAATTAATTAATTAATTTTATTTATTTATTTACTTATTTCTAAATAATAAATAGGGTAAAAAAAACATTTAATTCTATTAGTTAGAAATAGATTTTTTCTATAATTGTAAATTTCGAATTAAGAACAATACTCATTAGAATTTGATATCAAATCTAATTTCAATTGTGAAATATCTCTTATTCTTTTTTCTTACAACGTTTCCTTAAAAAATGTGGATTGGACTAAGAAAGGGAAAGGAAGAAAGTGAATTAGTATACTAATTCCTCGTCCTCTAAATAGTTTTTCCATTGGATTATTGTCCCAATAAAAATTAAACTAATAAGCAATTGTAAAAGTAAAATCTTAGATAAAATTTGAAAAAGCAAGTAGAAGGCAAGGAAAAAAAAGAAGGTATTTTTATAGGATTAGATTAAACAAATTATATATAGGATTAACAAAAAGATTCGCAAATAAAAGTGTTAATGCTATAATTAGTCCATAAATTGTTAAAACTTTCACAAAGGCCAGACCAAGCAATAAAGTGCCTCCTTTTTTTTTGGCTTCGAGTTGTCTCGTGATATCTTCTATAGCTTGACCTATAGTAGTATCTTAAACAACTTCAATTTCAATAGAAGAAAGCCCGACGGCCAACCCAACAACAATAACAAAAGCGATAAAATCAATAGAATCATGATAAGCACAAAAAAAAAAAAAAAAAAAAAAAAAAAAATGTTTAATGACACAATCAACTCATAAATTATGACTTAACTATTTCATTGATAAGATTTTTTAAGTTAAAGTAGCATAACTTAAAGCTCACAATTGTAGTAATAATATTATTGAATTATGAGAGCTATTTTCATATCTATTTTATAGTTTTTCTCCACAAAGTTTTTGTGAATTCATATAAATTTTTATTTTCCAAATTCTTTCTTTGTTCCAAACCAATCTTTGAATTCAAAGAAATCTTCGTTCTTTTTCTTGATTGAATTTCTTTATTTAATATTGAATTGAATTCACAAGAAAATAGATGGACATTTATTGGAATCTCTATTTAAATTATCAATAATGAGACGGTTTTTTCAAAGGATCAAGGGCCATAATAAATAACACATGCAGCAAGGGAAGAAACCACATCAGACGTGAAAAGCAGATAAAAAAAAAAAAAAAAAACTCCGTTGGCACGTGAGAGCTGAGACGTCCGCCTAAGACTTCAGACGAACGAAGAAAAAAGACAAATAATAGTAATAATTAATAGCAACAGAAAAATTGAGACGTCCTTTCTTATTTTATTTTATTCTTTATTTTTGGAAAGTGGACCCGCTCTTTACTTTGGAAGCGAACGAACGTACTGCACTGTTTCCAATCAAAAGAAATACTTCCGTACATTCCCAGTTTGTCCCTCTCTCTGTTTTTTTTTTTTTTTAACGTGTCCCTTTCTTATGTGGATTGTAAACGAAACATCTTTCCTATTATTTATGACAACTTATTGGTCTGTCTGAATAAGAAACGAGACGTCTCAGCCTCTCAGGTTCCGTTTTCAGAGGAGAATTTGGTACTTTACTTTATGAGACACCGGGGTCCCTTTTGTTCTCTATATTTTATTTTTTCCACATTATAATTTTGGAACCTGAATTTAAGAGGAGGTTCCGAAAACACTTTATGAATATACCTACCAATTTAAATAAATAGTGTATCTAAGATTTGACCAAATGAATTGTCTAAATACCTAATAGATTAATAGTTGGCTCAACAATATCCAAATGAACCAAAAAAAAAAAAAAAAAAAACAACAACAACAAAGCTGCCCGTTGCCACTAATTCCCACAGATCATGTTCACAGTGACTTGCAGGTTTTTTTAAAAAAAAATGTTTAATGGTATGAGATATTTTTAGATTGTTTTATATATATAAGCGAAATTAATCCTCTTTTTTTTTTAAATGTATATAAATATGATATATTTAGAAAAATAAAATTTATTTAGTGTTGCTATTAAAATTCAATCTCAAAACTCATCATATGTAACAATTATTTATTTATTTATTTTGTGTTTGTTTTTATGGGTTGAGAGTCAATACTGCATGCTTATTTATGAACCTCAACCTGCAGTTCAAATAAATATATTTTTTAGATGAAATTTAATTGTCAATATGTAATTATTAAATAAAGAAAATAAATATTTCGTTCTTTTCTCAACCATAATTCAGCTTTTATTCAATCTTCCTTCTAAATATATTTATTACAATCTAAAATAATTTAATCGAACAATATATACATTAGATCAATTTCTTATGTGATATAAATTATGTCTTCATAATTTTTTTTTAAAATAACTAGTTAGCCATCTTATTGTCGTCATAACCAACCCGGCTAAAAAAATCAATGGATCATTCATTAAACTAGTACAAGTGTTTAATTGAATCATTTATGCATATGAATTGATGAAAAAACCCCAATAACCTAATTGGTTTGAACTAGATTATGAAAAGGTCGTATCTCATTTATTTAAAAGAAATGGAGTTGAATAATAAACCTTCTTTATTGTATTCGTATACTAAATGATTATGTAATATTATCGTCTTGTAAATACGTACTATTCTTATAATTTATCAAGTGGCCGTAGACTCAATGGCAAATCAGAGAATCATCAATTAACACTTTCTAGTTGGTCAAACTCCGGTTTGATTATGATAACATTTGCTTCTTAATTATTTTTCTTAAAATAAAAATACTGGCGTTCTAATGTGGATCACTTTCCATGTCTACATTTACAGCAAACAGGGCACCAACTATGACAGGGACTACCATATAATCCATATTAGACCAATGAGGCATTGCAACTGCAATTTTAACAACAGTGGCATTGAGATAGCTCAATTGAATGTCTTGCCGGAAAATCAAGGAGAATACAAATGCCCCTGTTATTAAAATTGATTGTCTTGTTCACAGGCTCGCAACCACAGAAGTACAGAATCTTCTAGGAGGACCAGAACTACAAGTCGACCCACCACTGTGAGTTGTGAGTCTTGTGACCCCTAACTAAAAATTCCTAGAGGGCAAGAATCCATCCTGCTAAATGGTGCATTCCAGGGGATCGATGAGGAATGTTTAAGTTGGTGCTGTAGCACAAACTTCGTAATTAGCCACCCTTGCTGACCATCAAAGCTTTTGGTAGTCATTAGAAACTTAATCATGGCAAACGAATCTAGCTAAGAAAACTTTTCAACACTCTTATAAACAAAAACAATAAAAGGGTCGCGGAAAAATGAACCTTTTCTCTATTTAATTTTCTTGTACGCTTACAGGCAACATATCTTAACAATATAACAATATATGCTCCAAAAAGGGATTGGGGGCAGCAGGATAATCGAAGGCAATCATGTAACACTGTTCTAATCTGTCTCAGGACTTTTTAGGGACCTCCACTTTCTGCTGACTAGCTCTTTGCTGCTCCTCGCACTTTCTGATAGCTTTTTCAACACGTCAGTATATGTTTGGCATAGCAATTGGTAGAATTCTTGACATGATTCATATGCTAATCTCACAAGTAAACAAGTCCATAGAACAGAAATGCAGTACGCCAAAACTGGGGCAAGAACCACCAGAAGGAAAACTGTAGCAACGGCGCTAGCAAAGAGGCGGATGTTGCCGACAAGTCCGTGGTAAACTGAGTTCTGGGTCCGGAGTATAAACTCAGCCACCGATGCTGTGGCATATATAAATAGAGCGGCCAAAAAGGCTGACATGACCCTCTTGTGGGTATCATATGGAGAAGTTGGCATTGATTGGTGTTTCACTTGAATTTGTTTAATTAATGTGTCCACGACCACACCGAAAATTCCATGCTGCACTTCAACGATGCTGTCATCATAACAAAATTAATATTGCTTCAGCAAAGTCTGTAAAACAGTAAGTGTGTGTATATATATATATATATGTGTGTGTGTGTGTATGTATGTATGTATTCTGTTATTAGGCAATTAAATACAGCGTACCAGAATCAAAAATTAAAGTCAGTGAAGTTACTAAGAAAAGCAAATTAGTACTACTTAACGTCAGTAAATAATGAAGTAAGAGGAAAAAAAGGAAGAAGAAGAAGAACAAAGCAAAGAGATTTATACTAACTAGTCTCTCTCGAATCCAAGATTTGGCCTGTGGTTTTCAGCCATTTTCTTCTGCTTTCTTTTGTTAGAGAGATGTTGTCTTTGAATTGGGGGAGTTCCACAAATGAGCGAAGATTGGCACATTGACGTTGCTTTTATAGGAGACTTTTTCCGAGTTCCTGCATGTCAAGAAAAGGAAAGGAGACGACTGGGGTCCTCCAGACGTCCTTAGTTTTTGTCTAAAGACGTATTTTCTAAACCCGGCGTCTCGTGCTAACTAAAAATTAAATAGCCCTAGCGTCTCACTAACGTATCAACTTCCTCTACCTGCAAAAGTGCAAAAAAAAAAAAAAACAAAAAAAAAAAACTTGCATTCATAATCAACTTTTTTTTATTAGATTGTCTATCTATTTTTTTTTAATAAATTATTTATCAAACATTTCTACTTTTGAAAATTAGACTACAAACTGCTTAATCGATAAGCATAATAGTACCAAACAAAACACATACATTAAATCATGATTGAAATTCCTTTTCTTCTCCAAGTTTCAACATGCAAGGATAAAAACAAACGAAAAGAAGTGAAGAATATATAAGCAGATTCCAAAGTTAAATTGACAACATATAGCTAGAAATTATCTCTTTTTTTTAAAAAAAATTATGATTAACCTAATTAATGTTTCAATTATAGTATTTTTAAATTATGAATTATTAAGTACGTTTATTTTTTGTGTTTTAAGAGTTTATCTTATCAAGCTGTAGTTGCATTCGTTACCAATGATATATGGTTAATCATGAATATAAAAGAGCGTCTAACTTTAAAGCAAGAGTTCTTCACTTCATAATAAGTTATTTTCGGTAATTAATTGTAAACTCCTAAGTACATTTAAGGAAGCATAAAATTTCATATGTGACTTCATAATTTAACTAGTTATTATATAATTAATAAACAATATATATATATGTATGTCCCCAAGTATCTTCGTTCCACCTTAAAAATATAATTAATCTTATTTGAAACATGAGCAACAACCAATAAGATTTAATCAATCTCAAAAATTGCTATTTCATAAAAAAATAATATTAGATTATGATCTTAAGTTTTTCTCTCTAGAATTTTGAGAGTCTCTTAAGTCTTTTCGTGACTGCCTCAATCGACGATGTGATTTTTCTTTCTATTTTCAATATTTTTTCTCAATAGTCCCAATTATGTTATTTTTTTCCACTAGATCTGTTGTTGGTTTTTATATTTATCAGTTTATTTAGTGTCTGTCCAAGTTTTATGGCATTTCTTTTAGATTAATGTTGGTTTTTTTTTTTTTTTATGTCCTTTTATCCTTTAACAGGCATTTAATTACAATATAAATTTTACATAGAGTATTATTAAATTAGTATTCGGATCTCTTGTGTAAATAAAAAAAGAGTAACAAATAGAATATCAAGGTAGTAAAACTATGTACTAGTAGATTATACATACGTTAATAATTGTCCATCTACTCTTACAATAATTTTTTAATTTTTAGATCTGAATTATCGATCTTTAATTTTTATGTAAGGTTTTGGTTTTATGCTTTTTAATGTCATTAGTGGCATATAAGCTCGTTTCATTCTTTTTATATATATATATATATACACATATAGCTTTTTGGTTGAGTTTTGATCTAAAAGTAGATATTTTTCCTCAATTTCAATTTAATAAAATTGTTATCTTTGGTATTAAAAAAATATATTATGTAATTATGATAATTACGAAATATTAAATAGAAAAAAAAACCTTGTTACATTTAAAAGGCTAAAATACTCCATTTTTATTTTTATTTTTTATTTATGGAAAACCATTGGTCTGATCACGAAGGAACAAATATTTGTAATTTATTCATTGTAATTCTTATCTTAATAATTTATAAATTTGAAAATTTTGAAGACCTTATAATTACAATGCTTTAACATAATCGAAACAAGCATTAGTTATATGATATATGGATAACCTATCAGCTTAGTCTTAATTTTTTTATATATAATTTTTTAACTAATAACATTGTAAAACAAACCAATTAAATTTAATCTTGAGTTTGATGTATGTCTAATATACTTCTCCATTAAATAAATTGATATGTTTGCAGATTTTATTGTTATTATTTATTTATTTTGCATTTTTTTTACTAGAATGGTAAAATAATTAATAAGTTTACATGGTACAATACAATAGAAATAAGCGTCGTATCCATAGTGAAAATTGATTATTAATACTACAATAACATAACTGAAAAAATCCAAAAAATCAATATCCAGGTTGATTGTCAGTACTAAAATAACCTAATGAAAAAAATCCAAAAAATCTATATCCAGGGTTGAATTTCCTTTCTCGCATAAAAATGGATTAATCATAACAATTATACATAAATCCAAATATATGAGCAAAGTTGATAGCTTTATCCGAAAGAAAACTCCTGGATGAGTACGTAACAAAAAATGAACCGCATTTGAGATGTGGAGGTGGGTCCAAAGAGGTGTCCTTTTTTCAAAAATAAAATAAAGAAAAGGAAAACGCGAGAGACGTCCTCATGGATACGAAGCGCACGGACGTACTGCGTTGTCAAGTGTTAATAGTCAAAGACGAATCGTTCTCCACTCCAGCTGCACATCACCACACGATAAATTTTATAATACATAAAAAATAATTATTGATATATATATAGGATGATTATCTCATTAATCTATTTTGAGGGAAAAAAATTAAACGAACCTGAAAATATTATTATCATTTGTGAATCTACATATAATTTAAAGTATCTATCTTTTTTTTAAAAAAAAATAAATTTATAAAAATCACACTTCAAAGTCCGTTCTCATTATCCACGCAAGAGGAAAGGCGGGAATTCATTAAGGCATCAATGGATTCGATAAGATTTCCAAACTCATGGGCTCTCTCGTCGTCTAATATTGATTCAAACCTATAGAGATAATGGGCCAAAAATAGGCCTATTATCTACAAGTTGCCATCGTCCGCCATCCCCTTTTTGGATATAATATCCATCTAATGTCCTGGAAGTCCCATTATATTGATTAGGGGGAAATCAAAGATCCATCATCGGTTGACTTAATTGCTATTAAGGGAGATATTTATTTTCTTTCTAATGTTTGTCAGCTTGAATATTCGGTAGATATATATAGGTATTATACAATTTAGTCATAGATAATAATTTTAATACAATATAAAAGAATATAACAAACTCTATCTAGAGATTTAACTCATAAATAAAGAAAAAGTTATTTTTTCTAAAATAGTATTAGAGTTGTAAATTTCTTTTTTCTTCTTCTTCGACTAGCAATTCGGTCACCTAAATTCTTTCTTCTTTTTTAAGATCCGTTATTTGTTTCTTAAGAAACAATTCTTTAAGACATAATCCGAATAATCCAACTGATATTTCTAGTTTTTCATGGATTGTTAGTTCGGTTCGAGATGTTAACAATCCGTTATACTCGCATCCTTCTAATACATCAAATCTTGTTCTTGTTACACATTTACTCAAAAGATAAAGATGATTACAGTTCATGAAGCAAAGTGATGATGATCTCTTTGGAAGCAAAAAGCAAGGATGGTGTTTGTCACTAAACAATGCTTCAAACCAAGCATTGATTCATTGAATTATAAAGTTTATGCCTAGTTGTTGAATTTAGTTTCTACAAAACCAAAAAAATTTAATCCAACTATATATACATTGGATCAACTAATCTTCTTATATGACATAAATTATGTTTTCATAATTTTTTTTTTAAATAACTAACTAGCCTTTTTATCATTATCATAATCATAGCCATATTGGAGCGGTTGGTCTCATAAAAAAACCAATGGATCACTCATTAAACTAGTTCGATTCTTTAATTGAATCATTTATGCATATGAATTGATAAAAAAAAAAAAAAAACCAAATAACCTAATTAGTTTGAACTAGATTATCAAAAAGTCACATCTTACTTATTTAAAAGAAATAGAGTCGAATAATAGACCTCGCTCCTTTATTGTGTGTGTCCGTATACTAAATGACCATACTCGTATAATTTTGTCCCGTGAATATGTACGAACTATTCTTATAATTTATCAAGTGATTGTCGACTCAATGGCAAATCGGAGAATCATCAATTTGTAATTTCTAGTAGGTCAAACACCGGTTTGATTATGATAACATTTGATTCTTAATTATTTTTCTAAAAATAAAAATACCGGCGTTCTAATGTGGATGTATTTCTATGTCTACATTTACCGCAACCATGGCACCAAGCATGACAAGGAATTACCATATTGGACCAATAGGGCATTGCAACCGTAATTTTAACACCGAGTGGCATGGAGATAGCTCAATTAAATGTCTTGCCGTAAAATCAAGGAGAAATATCAATGCCACTCGTTGTTGAAATTGATTTTCTTCTTCACGAGTTAGTGCTCGATCGAGTTCATTTATAACTTGACTAAATCAAAATATAAGCCCGACCCATGAATAAAACATCTCTCTCATGCAACGACGAAGTTCAAAAGCTTCCGGGAGGACCGGAACTACAAGTCGACCCACCACGATGAGTTGTGATTCTTGTGACCGCTCTCAAAATTCCTGAGGGCAAGAATCCATCCGTAGAAAACTAAGTAAACAAAGGAAGGATGCAAAGAAGCAAACAGAAGCAGAGAGAGAGAGAGAGGGAGAGAGGAGAGGGGAAACGAAAGAGGGAAAAATGATTTCAAAATTTCATTAGGTTAAAAAAAAACTTTGTTACATTGACATCTATACCCATGCTAATTGCTTACAATAACAAACTTAACAAACTCAATAAAAACTAATAGAGATTTAACAAACTCATAACATTGCATTCTAATACTCCCCCTCGAAGCTAAGTATGAATGTTCTTCGGACTTAGCTTGCTAAACAAAGAATGAAAGGGACCGAGTCGTAAGGCCTTAGTAAATACATCAGCAAGTTGAGTTAGCGTAGACACATGGTAAGGTTATATGATACCAAGCAGCAATCTTCTCCCGTAAGAAGTGATAATCCACTTCAATGTGCTTGGTCCTCTTATGAAAAACGGGATTCTTGCTCGAGTGAAGGATAGATTGGTTATCACACAAGAGTGAGACAGGATTAGCATGAAGTATACCAAAATCCTGCAACAAGAACAAGAGCCTATCGAACCTAGGGTTTGATCATCTCCTCTCATTCTTAAACCCGATCTCGCCTTTTACTTCTTTGACGAGTTCGCGATTGATTATCCTTTCTAAAGATTTCGTCTAATCTACCATGACTCGTAGAGTCATTATCCGATGAAGCTTCTTCTTCATACTTTATTCATCATTCGGATCATCACGGTTCTCTTGTGGTTACTCCGAACTCACCATAGAGAACTATACAACTTGGAGCGGGTCATTTACTTTAGCTTTCTCTATTCGCAACAAGTTAGGGTTTGTGGATGGATCTATTCCGAAGCCCGAAGTCGATAATGTCCTTGTTAATTCTTGGAATCGTTACAATAGTCCGATAGTAGCACGGCTACTGCGATCAATATCACCTTCGATAGCTGCAACGGGTTTTTTTATATGAATTCTCGCTGCAAAGATTTGGGAAGTTTTGAAGAAACATTTTTCCCAACCAAATGAATCAAGAATTTACAACTTACGAGTGGTCTCTATGTTCAATAACACAAGGATCTAGGTCGGTTAACACATATTTCACAGAGTTAAATGAAATATTGGAGGAATTAAGAAATTTCGAGCCATTGCCTCATTGTGGTCATGGAGAGTGCAATGTAGTATGCTTTGATAAATTTGTGAAGCTATATGAAAAGGATTATGTGTTCAAATTCCTCAATGGATTGAACGAATCTTTCTCTCATCTAAGGTCTCAAGTGTTGGTAATAAAGCCATTCCCTAGTTTGGATGAGGTATATACTTGGTTATGCGAGAGGAATCCCATAGATCAATGCGAGTGCAGCAACAGTCTCCTCTCGGTGAATCTTCTCGCTTCGCTATGGCCACATTTCACGATAACGGGAGGTAACTAGAACATGTTTGTTCATACTATGGGAAACCAAGTCATAGCAAAGATACGTGCTATCGACTAATAGGATTCCCTCTAGATTTCAAGTTCACCAGGAACAAGAACTTCAACACCTGGAGGTTCCGGACATACTTCCAAGTTCACTTTTGGTCACAATGGTGACAGTTCTTCTAAGCGCATCAATAATGTTGCATCAAAACAAGGAGGTTCTATTGCCGCTAAAGATGTCTCCGGTCACAATGCTCGTCTTAACCGGGCATGTTACGCCGCCAAATATTACTTTCACTCAAGAGCAAGTCACTAGGCTCATGACTCTTTTGAATGCTCGGGATCCGCAAGCTTCAACCTCTCAACCTTTAAACATCAACCATACACAACCCATCTCTAATCTGGCGGTATAGTTACTCGCTATGTCTACCTCTCGTTATTCCTTTTCATTCTAGCATTTGGATCATTGACACGAGTGCAACCGATCATATAACTTGTTCCATTCAAAACTTTAGTTCATATCAACATGTTGAAAACCTAACAGATACAGCTACCAAATGGTCATAAAGCAATAGTTACTCATATTGGCCAAGTTACATTATCTCCTTCATTTGTCTTACATCAAGTCCTTTGTGTCCCTTCATTCAAGTTTAACCTCATTTCGGTTAGCAAGCTTATCGTTAACTTTCATCATAAATTGATCTTCACCGGCACTTCTTGTTTAATCAAATAGGATAACTTTTCGTAGATGATGATTGGAACTGTTTGTCTACAAACAAGCCTATTCTTGCTCATAACTCCTGTTGATTGTAATTCTTTACCTTAGAAACATTCGTGTAATGTTCAAGCTCATCAATGATATCATTGTAAATCCATCGAGTGTGTGATTTGTGGCATTGTCGTCCGGGACATATGTCATCCGATAGAATCCGGTTACTTAGTCATAAAGACCCAAATGTCAAGTATAATAATCAAACTTGTTTTGTATGCCCTTTGGCTAAACAAAAATGTTTGTTATTTTCCATTCATAAGAAAGTTACTTCTATTCCTTTTGAGCTTGTTCACATGGATGTTTGGGGACCCTATTCTACTATATCTCGTTGGTGGTTTTTATTTTTTTCTAACCGTGGTAAATGATTACACTAAAGTCACTCGGATTTTTCTTCTTAGACATAAGTCGAAGTTGCCTCTATTATTCCATCCTTCTATCAAATGGTCTCTACTCAATTCCGCTTACCACTTAAGCAAATCGAGTCCGATAATGAGGGTGAATTCCATCTTTTAGATTTTTATCGATCCAAGGGTATCATCCATCGGTTGACATGTGTTGAAACTCCTCAACAAAATGGGGTGGTTGAGAGAAAACATCAACATCTACTAAATGTAGTTAGATCACTTCTCTTCGAAGCTTCCTTACCTATTAAGTTCTGGGGGATGCAGTCCTCACTGCTCGCTTATTTGATCAATAGAACCCCTTCACCCTTGTTAGATAATCACACTCCTTATAAGCTGTCATTTCAGTCCCTCCAACATATAATCATTTAAGAATCTTTGGGTCTCTGTGTTTCACTTCAACACTTGTGCGTAATAGAAAGAAATTCCAACCCAAGGCCTCACCTTGTATTTTTCTTGGTTACCCTCCCGGTACTAAAGGTTATAAGGTCTATGACCTTATCTTTCATAAGGTACTCGTTTCTAGGAATGTTGTCTTCCATGAAAGTATTTTCCCTTATGCCACGAATGGCTTTGTTTTTATGCCTTCATCTCCCATATGCCATTCTCTAAATACATCCAATTTGTTTGATTTTTCCAAGTATACAACCTTCACATTCTGTTGTTCCATCTTATGAGAGTATAACTTCCCTCAAACCTCTTCATCCGATATTATAGTGTCATCTCACACACCACCTTTGTCCGATGGTATACACACCGACAGCATGCATATTACAGACCATTCTTGATTGTCCCGGTCCCGATTCCAATTCTAATTCTCATCCCATTACATCGGGAATTTATCCGGATTCTACTCGGTCTCCCTTTGCGAAAATCTACTCGGTCCAGTAGAGTTCCTTCTTACCTAGACATCTATCACCACTCCCTCAAACCTTCTTCCCCCATTTCCTCAAATGTTGTACTACATTCGACTCCTCATCCCATTCATCATTTTGTTTCAATTTCTCAACTTTCTCCCTCTTATCGCTGCATTTACAATTTCTTTGACTAATATCTCCGAGCCCAAATCATACTCCCAAGTCGTGAAATCCGAGCATTGGAAAGAGGCCATGCGAGCCGAGTTACAAGCTTTAGAAGAGAACAATACTTGGTCTTTGGTACCATTACCAGCAGTGTTCTCACACGAGTGAGGTGTAAATGGGTTTATAAGGTGAAGATTCGAGCCGATGACAATATTGAGAGGTATAAGGCAAGGCTGGTTGCCAAAGGTTATAGTCAAGTTGAGGGTTTTGATTATCAAGAAACCTTTAGTCCGGTTGCTAAGCACACAACAATACGATTATTTCTAGCCTTAGCAGCGAGTCAAAGGTTGGTTTCTCTCTCAACTTGACATTAATAATGCCTCTTGTATGGGGATCTTACCGAAACGAGTCTATATGGATATACCTCCCGGTTATAGGATTAAGGGGAGACTAAGAATGGTCCGAAATTGGCTCGCAAGTTACATAAATCCTTATATGGATTAAAACAAGCTTCCCGACAATGGAATGCAAAATTCACAATGACTTTCTTTGGAATATGGTTTTCATCAATCTAAATCCGATTATTGATACCATGTTAAAAGACCATCTCACCTAAAAGCTTAAGTCGTTAGGTAAGGCCCAATAATATAATTTATATTACTCTCTAACACACCCTCAAGTGAAAGCCCCAACATGTGGGCTTGAAACTTGCACAAGTCCACATTGCCTCGTGCTTACTACTTGAGAAATTGGAGGTGGTAAGACTTGAACTCGGGATCTCTTGGTTAACTAAGCTCGATATCATGTAGAAAACTAAGTAAACAAATGAAGGATGCGAGAGAAGCAAACAGAGAGCGGAGACACAGAGAGAGAGAGGAGAGGGGAAAACGAAAGAGGGAAAAATGATTTCAAAATTTCATTAGGTAAAAAAAAAACTTTGTTACATTGGCATTTATACCTATGCTAACTGTCTACAATAACAAACTTAACAAACTCAACAAAAACTAATAGAGATTTAACAAACTCATAACCTTGCATTCTAATACCATCCTGCTAAATGTTGCATTCCAGGGGATGAGGAATGTTTAAGTTGGTGCTGTAGCACAAGCTTGTTGACCATCAAAGCTTTTGTTAGTCATTAGAAACTTAATCATGGCAAACGAATCTAGCTAAGAAAACTTTTCAACACTCTTATAAACAAAAACAATAAAAGGGTCGCGGAAAAATGAACCTTTTCTCTATTTAATTTTCTTGTACGCTTACAGGAAACATATCTTAACAATATAACAATATATGCTCCAAAAAGGGATTGGGGGCAGCAGGATGATCGAAGGCAATCATTTAACACCGTTCTAATCTGTCTCAGGACTTTTTAGGGACCTCCACTTTCTGCTGACAAGCTCTTTGCTGCTCCTCGCACTTTCTGATAGCTTTTTCAACACGTCAGTATATGTTTGGCATAGCAATTGGTAGAATTCTTGACATGATTCATATGCTAATGTCACAAGTAAACAAGTCCATAGAACAGAAATGCAGTACGCCAAAACTGGGGCAAGAACCACCAGAAGGAAAACTGTAGCAACGGCGCTAGCAAAGAGGCGGATGTTGCCGACAAGTCCGTGGTAAACTGAGTTCTGGGTCCGGAGTATAACCTCAGCCACCGATGCTGTAGCATATATAAATAGAGCGGCCAAAAAGGCTGACATGACCCTCTTGTAGGTATCATATGGAGAGGTTGGCATTGATTGGTGTTTCACTTGAATTTGTTTAATTAATGTGTCCACGACCACACCGAAAATTCCATGCTGCACTTCAACGATGCTGTCATCATAACAAAATTAATATTGCTTCAGCAAAGTCTGTAAAACAATAAGTGTGTATATATATATATATATATGTATGTGTTCTGTTATTAGGCAATTAAATACAGCGTACCATAATCAAAAATTAAAGTCAGTGAAGTTACTAAGAAAAGCAAATTAGTACTAATTAACGTCAGTAAATAATGAAGTAAGAGAAAAAAAAAAAGAAGAAGAACAGTGCAAAGAGATTTATACTAACTAGTCTCAATAAATAATGAAGTAAGAGAAAAAGAAGAAGAAGAAGAAGAACAGAGCAAAGAGATTTATACTAACTAGTCTCTCTCGAATCCAAGATTTGGCCTGTGGTTTTCAGCCATTTTCTTCTGTTTTCTTTTGTTAGAGAGATGTTGTCTTTGAATTGGGGGAATCCACAAATGAGCGAAGATTGGCACATTGACGTTGCTTTTATAGGAGACTTTTTCCGAGTTCCTGCATGTCAAGAAAAGGAAAGGAGACGACTGGGGTCCTCCAGACGTCCTTAGTTTTTGTCTAAAGACGTATTTTCTAAACCCGGCGTCTCGTGCTAACTAAAGATTGAATAGTCCTAGCGTCTCACTAAAATATCAACTTCCTCTACCTGCTAAAGTGAAAAAAAAAAAAACTTGCATTCATAATCAACTTTTTTTTTATGAGATTGTCTATCTATTTTTTTGTTAATAAATTATTTATCAAACATTTCTACTTTTGAAAATTAGACTACAAACTGCTTAATCGATAAGCATAATAGTACCAAACTAAACACATACATTAAATCATGCTTGAAATTCCTTTTCTTCTCCAAGTTTCAACGTGCAAGGATAAAAACAAACGAAAAGAAGTGAAGAATATATAAGCAGGTTCCAAAGTTAAAGTGACAACATATAGCTAGAAATTATCTCTTTTTTTTAAAAAAAAATTATGATTAACCTAATTAATGTTTCAATTATAGTATTTTTAAATTATGAATTATTAAGTACGTTTATTTTTTGTGTTTTAAGAATTTATCTTATCAAGCTGTAGTTGCATTCATTACCAATGATATATGGTATAATCATGAATCAAAAAGAGCGTCTAACCTTAATGCAAGAGTTCTTCACTTCATAATAAGTTATCGGCGGTGATTAATTGCAAAATCCTAAGTACATTTACAAGCATAAAATTTTATATTTGACTTCATAATTTAACTAGTTATTATGTAAATAATAAACAATACAATATATATATTTTATCCAATTATCCTTCATCCATATTAAAAATATAATTAATTTTGTTTAGAACATGAATGACAGCCAAAAAGAATTAATTCTTATCAAAAAGTGCTATTTCATAATATATATATTATGATCTTAAGTTTTTCTCTCTAGAATTTTGAGTCTCTTAGGTTTTTCTGTAATTGCTGCAATCGACAATATGATTTTTTTTTCTTTTTTCAATATTTTTTCTTAGTACTTCCATATATGCTATTATTTCCACTAGATTTGATGTTTTTTTTTATATATAGTTATTAGTTTATTTGATGTCCGTCTAGTTTTTAGGCATTTCTTTTAGATTAATGTTGGTTTTTTATTTATTTTTTATGTCCTTTTATATCCTTTAACGGGTCTTTAATTACAACGTAAATTTTACATAGAGTGTTACTAAATTAGTATACGGATTGCTTGTTTAAATAAAAAAAAGAGTATCAAGTAGAATATCAAGATAGCAGAACTGCTAATAGATTGTACGTCGACGAGTTGTTCATTTACTTGTATAATAAATTTTTTTATTTTTAGATTTGAATTATAAATCTTTAGTTTTTAGGTAAGGTTTTTATTGTATGCTTTTTGATGTCCTTAGTGGCATATAAGTCCGTTTCATTCTTTATATATATATATATAATTTTAATTGAGTTTTGATCTAAAAATAGAAATCTTCCTCGATTTCAATTTAATAACATTATTATCTTTGTTATTAAAAAAAAGTTATTATGTGATTATGATAGTTACGAAAGATTAAATAGAAAAAAAATAGCATTGTTACCTTTAAAAGGCTAAAATACTCCCTTTATATATATATATATATAGAAGAAAACCATTTGTCTGATCACGAAGGAACAAATATTTGTAATTTATTCATTGTAATTCTTATCTTAATAATTTATAAATTTGAAAATTTTGAAGACCTTATAATAACAATGCTTTCACATAATCGAAACAAGCATTAGTTACATGATGTATTGTTAACCTATCAGCTTATTCTTTACATATAAATTTCTAACTAATAACATTGTAAAACAAACCAATTAAATTTAATCTTGAGTTTGATGTATTTCTAATATACTTGTCCATTAAATAAATTGATATATTTGCAGATTTTATTATTATTATTATTTATTTTGCATTTTTTTTTTTACTAGAATGGTAAAATAATTAATAAGTTTACATGGTAAAATACAATAGAAATAATGGTCGTATCCATAGTGAAAATTGATTATTAACACTACAATAACATAATTGAAAAAATCCAACAAATCTATATCCAGGGTTGAATTTCCTTTCTTGCATAGAAACGGATTAATCATAACAATTATACATAAATCCTAATATACGGGTAAAGTTGATAGCTTTATCCAAAAGAAAACTCCTGGATAGGTACAGAACAAAAAATGAATTGCATTTGAGACGTGGAGGTAGGACCAAAGAGATGTCTTTTTAAAAAAAAAAAAAATACAAAAACGGAAAATGCGTGAGACGTCCTCATGGATACGAAGCGCACGGACGTACTGTGCTGTCAAGTGTTAATAGTCAAAGACAAATCATTCTCCACTCCCACTACACATCACCACCCTTCAAAGTCCACGCAAGAGAGAAAGGTGGGAATTCATTCAAGGCATCACTGGAATCGATAAGATTTCCAAAGTGTTGGGCTCCCTGCTGTCTAATACTAGTTCAAACCTACGGAGATAATGGGCCAAAAATAGGCCTATTATCTGCAAGTTGCGATTGCCTGCCATTCCCATCTTGGATAAAGTATCCTTCTAATGTCCTGGAAGTCCATCCATTATATTGATTGAGAAATCAAAGATCCACCATCAGTTGACTTAATTGCTGTTAAGAGAGATATTTATTTTCTTTGTAATGCTTGTCAATTGTATATCAGTAGGTGTACATAGGTATTATATACCTTAGTCATAGATAATAATTCTAGTATAATATAAAAGGATGTAACAAACTTTAACTGGACAATTAACTCATAAATGAAAAAGAAGTTGCTTTTTTAATTTTGCTTTCTCCTGAAATGGCATCAGAACTGTAAATTTCTTTTTTGCTTCTTCCTCATCGAGTAGCAATTCCTTTTGTCACCTAAATTCTTGCTTTTTCTTTAAGGCTCGTTATTTTTTTTCTTGAGAAATCCATTCTTCAAGGCATAATCAGGGAGAATCTAAAAGGACTTTTTAAGGACCTCCACTTTCTGCTGACTAGCTTGCTTCCTCTTTGCTGCTCCTCACACTTTCTGATAGCTTTTTCAACATGTCAGTATATGTTCGGCTTAGCAATTGGCAGAATTTTCACATGTTTCATATGCTAATGTCACAAATAAACAAGTCCAGAGAACAGAAATGCAGTACCCCAAAACTGGGGCAAGAACCACCAGAAGGAAAACTGTAACAAGGGCGCTAGCAAAGAGGCGGATGTTGCCGACAAGTCTATGGTAAACTGACTTCTGGGTCCGGAGTATGACCTCAGCCACCGATGCTGTGGCATATATAAATAGAGCGGCCAAAAAGGCTGACATGACCCTCTTGTGGGTATCATATGGAGAAGTTGGCATTGATTGGTGTTTCACTTGAATTTGTTTAATTAATGTGTCCACGACCACACCGAAAATTCCATGCTGCACTTCAACGATGCTGTCATCATAGCAGAATTAATATTGCTTCAGCAAAGTCTGTAATACAGTAAGTGTATGTATATGTGTGTGTTCTGTTATTAGGCAATTAAATATAGCGTAGCAGAATACAAAAATTAAGGTCAGTGAATTTACTAAGAAAAGAAAATTAGTAATAATTAACGTCATTAAATAATGAAGTAAGAGAAAAAAATAAAGAAGAAGAACAGAGCATAGAGATTTATACTAACTAGTCTCTCTCGAAATCAAGATTTGGCCTATGGTTTTCAGCCATTTTCTTCCGCTTTCTTTTGTTAGAGAGATGTCTTTGAATTTAAGGGAGTTACCCATATGGGTAAAGATTGGCACATTGAGGTTGCGTTTTATTGGAGGCTTTTTCCAAGTTCGTGCTTGACCAGAAAAAAGGAAGACGACTGGGGTCCTCCAGACGTCCTTGGTTTTGTCTAAAGACGTATTTTCTTAACCCGGCGTCTCGAGCTAATTAAAAATTAAAGTCCTATCGTCTCACTAAAATATCAACTTCGTCTTCCTGGTAAAGTGAAAAAAAAAAAAAAAAAAAAAAAAAACTTGCAATCGTCACCAAACTTGGCTAACAGATTCGAACACGGGACTGCAATAATCATTAAAAATTCAAAATAAAATTATTATTATTATTATTAAGAATCAACTTGTAAGAGATTTGATCATATTACTCGAAAGCACTCGTTTAAAAAATGAGGGAAAAAAGAAAAAAGACGAGCGTGTTACTTTTATTATGTTTTCAATCTAAATTATCTACACGTGCTTTGTTCTCTATTTGTGAAAAAAAAAATCAATTATACGTAGGATGAATATTTAATTAAGAATCTAAATCAATAAATTTATTAGAATAAAAAATTTTAATTAAATTGAAAAACTATAGAGTGTATCAATAAAAGAAATTGAATTGTAGAGAATCTAAATGTCGGGATAAAAGCTTTTTATTTGTGTCATCTTTACTCATTTCCCAGGTTGATGTAGCTAACATCGTTGAAGATTGGCAGATGTCTGATGCTCACAACATGGATTCCACAAATAAACATTTTAGTTCTTGTAATTTTTCAAAATTTTATTTTGGTGCTCATATTATATTTTTCAATAAATAAGTATTTGATTGAAATTTTTTTGGTCATTGTATTTCATAATCATATACACTTTAGTTTCTAAATAATTTTTTTAAAAAATTAAATCCTTACATATCAAATCATAAACTTAGTAAAAAATTATTCAAATAATTAAAAAGGTTTGGTGAACAAGGTAAGAGTTAAATAGATTTAAATCGGTATGTGCATTTAAATTAATAAAAAAAATCTCATAATATCACATATACATTATGATAATTTTTTCTAGAGTACCGATAAATTCACCACATTAATTGTTATTCCCATCATTTGTTTTCTAGACATTTATTGATATACCCTCCTTTAATGTTTCTTAAATAATAGTTATATATATTTTATATTAAATACCAAAAATATCCATCAATATTATTTTCTCATCTCATTTCACGTTTTAACACATAAACACAACGAATTTTTTTGCAACCCACACCATTTAATTGATGAAGGTTTCGATAACGTTTGTCGTGGTAATCGAGTTATGGACCTTTTTGGGATAGTGTTTTGGGGTATTGGAAAGCAAGCATAGAAAGGCCGGACAAGGTGCTGTTTTTTAAATATGAAGATTTGAAAGAGGATATATCCTTTAACATGAAAAAGCCGAGAGAGCTCTTGGGACTCGCTTTCTCTAAGGAAGAAGAGAAAGAAGGGGTAATTGAAGAAATATCAAAGCCGTGCAACTTTGATAATCTCAAGGATTTGAAGGTGAACAAAGCTGGTGTCTTTGAACGTGCTAGAGCTCCAAACAAGTACTTAGTGTCTTTGAATGTGCTGGAGCTCCAAACAATATCTTCTTTAGGAAAGCAAAGGTGGGAGATTGGTGCAATTATCTAAGTCCCTCCATGGTAGAACGTTTCGAAAAGATAGTGGAAGCAAAGATGATTGGCTCTATCTTATCCTTCAAAATATCTCCCTAAGCTCCCAAATTGCTTAGTAATCTCCGGTATCCTCGGGCTCATTTTCCTTCCGCCTCTAAAATAATCATTTTGCTCAACTTCTAGTTGTTAATCGATTTTTTTAAGGAAAAACGTCAAAATAGTATGGGCTCAGTTATCTTTCTTTATTTGTCATGTGTTAATTTTAATGAGTATTTTGGATATTTAATGTAAAATATATAAAACTATTATTTAAGAAATATTGAAGGAGGGTATGTTAGTAAATGTTTAGAAAACAAATGGTGGGAATAACAATTAACATGGTGAATTTAGGAATACCCTTTTTTCTATTGTCTTATTTTTTAAAATTTTTTATCTTGATTTTTTTTAAGGTTAAATTAATAAAATGATTTATTTTTAAAAAAGAAAGAAAATAAAAAGAAAATTATGATGACATAGGAAATATTATGATAATTTTTATTTTCTTAGTTTTTTAAATGATATAAAAAAATATTTTATTTTCTTTGTTTTTCTAAATGGTATAGATAATTTATTTTTTTATATCTTTTAAAAATATAATATGTCAAATCCACTCAACTTTTACGTTGAAGTTTTTCTGTCATTTTTAAATGTTTTTCTTCCTTCGTTTTCCCATAATGTCAAATATTGTCTCATTAATATCATGCATAATAAATGTTTTTTTTTCTTATGACACACCTATTTAAATCCACTTAACTCTTACCTTATCTGTCAACCAATTTAAATTATTTAAATAATTTTTACTAAGTTTATGATTTGACATGTGAGGATTTAGTTATAAAAAAATAATTTAGAACCTAAATTGTATATGACTAAAAATACAAGGACAAAAAACTTTAATTATTTATTTTTAAGAAAAATATAATCTAGAGAACAAAATAAAAATCTCAAAAAATAGGGACTAAATTGTATATTGATGACAAGTCCATGCTGTGATACTTGCCAATTTTTTTTTTTTTTTTTTTCACACGAACGACATAAACTGACTAAGGAATGTAAAGACGAGGGAGATGTGAAGTGCATCGTTGATATGAAAATCAAAAAATAAATAAAAAGATTTTTTTAAATATAAAATAAAGAATACAAGGATGTAGAAAAACATTAATCTTAAAATAATCCAAATATCTAACTCTAAACTTCTCAGAATAGATTTTCCTAAAAAATTTGAGATGCGATCCATAATCCCAGAAGGCAAAAGCCGTTACAACTGCACATTATGAAAAATAGGCTCTCCGTCTGTTGTTAAAAGCGGTCCGGAACAAATGGTTTCTGCGAGGAATGCTGTCTCTAACTGGAAGTTCATGCCCTACGCAATGAACTAACCATCTTCAATTAGACTTTTACTTTTCTTAAGAATTTCATTTTTGTTTTTTGTTTTTTTTTGCATTCTAGATGAAGTCCATAAAAAAGTTTTAACAAAATCAAAATAACAGCCCAGTACCTAAACATAAGAAATTTCACAGCCCAGTACCTAAACATAAGAAATTTCACACAGACGAGTCATGAAACTCACGACCATAGCAGCATCCCCGAAGTTAGAGTGTGTAAAGGGCATAAGAGAGAAAGAAAAAGAAAAACCCAGTGAAGGCAAGAATGCATCTGCAAGATGGGTCATGATATATAGAAGTTGGTGGCCTAACACAAACTTCATCGTATTTTCCCCCTATATGAGCTTGCTGACCATCAAATAAATCTAGCTGAGAAAACTTTGCAAGTCTTTACAAGTCATACTTCATACAAAGAAAAAGAAGAAAAGGCACATAATGCCATATATTTCTGTTTTCATATGCCAAGGAGATCCTCATCTCTATTTGATTCTCTTTTACATTACATAAACAATAAATCTTCGCAATATGATGACTCTATATGTTACAAAAAGGGATGGGGGGCAAAAGTTAATCACAAACAATGATTTAACACTATACCAATCTGTCTCGGGTCTTGCAAGGACCTCCACATTCGGCTGATTTGGTTTCTCTTTGCGGCTCCTCACAATTGCGATTAGCCTTTTCAACATGTTCAGTACCTCCTCAGTTGCTTGGCTTAGAAATCGGCACAAATCCTGACATGATTTATATGCTAATTTCTCAAATAAACAGGTCCACAGGACAGAAATAATTAAAATTGCTTAAAAAACAATATGATATACAAAAATTGAAGACAGGGAAATAAGGAGAGAAAGGTATTTAATTTGAATCCCTAAACTCGATGAAAAAAAATTCAAGGTAAAAGGATTTAGAGTAACCTGACTCTTTCGAAACCAGATGAGGCGTATGGTTTTCTGCCATTTTCTTCTGCTTTCTTTTGCTTGGAGAAATGTAGCCTTTGGACTTGGGCAGTTCAACAAATGGGGTGAATGGTCATTTGCCCATTACCGAGGCCTTTTATAGGAGAGGAAACAGCTAAAGTCTTGAGTCATTGACCCCATCAAAAGACGTCTTTCGTTTTGTGAATTTTGTCAAAGACGTATTTTTCAAAATTCGGCGTCTTGGGGAATAACTAGAAATTAATTAATCTTATGTTGTCGTTTTCTTTTTTTCCAACCACTCCTAGCTTCTCGCTAACTTTATAAATTCGTAGCTAAAGTTAATATATATATTCTTAAAAATTTTGCGTGATATTTAAAGAGATTTGCTTATTTTTAAAATTTTTTTAGATTTAAATTTTAGAATTAGTTTTTGATATAATTTATTTAATTATTTCAAATATATAAAACTAATGAAAGAGATATGTTTTTAAAAATATTTTAAAAAATTTAGTTTCGATTGACTAATAGATATAGTAATTTATACTTATTTTCTTGCATATTAAAAAATAAGATTCATAATTAAAATTTTTTAAAAGATTCAAGAATCAACTTGTAAAAGATTTGATTATTTTATTTTGAAAAAACTTGCTTAAAAAAATAAATAATCCGAATCATATAAAGTGCGTAATTCTCTATCCATAACATTTTTCATTAGTTTTTAATATCAATAGTTTTTTTAAAAAAATATTTTGCTGTCTCAAAATTTAAAATAAAAGAGAAAAAATATATATAAAAGACTTATAAAGATAGATTGATGATCGACAACAATCATTCAACTTTATTTCAATTTCGTGATTAAACTTATAATTAAGAATATGTGCTTCCTTTATCCAATAAAAATTGACGAAAACGTTTATTTAAAAGTCATGTGAAGGAGAGAAAGTTAATCGATTTATCCAAAAGAAAACACGGAGATACTTGTTACAGAACAAAAATGGTTGCGTGTGACAGGAGACTTCCGGAGAGAGTTAAAACGGAAGACGTGTTTTTTTTTCCTTTTCTTTTCTTTAAACATAGAAAAAGAAAATGGGCGAGACGTCTTCGTACTGAACTGTTGATAGTCAAATAAAATAAAGAGAGGTGCGAAAGTGAAAGGTGGGGAACCGTTCATGGCATCAACGGCTTAAGGATTGACACGTTGAATTCAGTAAGGATTTAATAGTCAATTCAATTATTTGGACCAACATAGGCTTGTCTATCAGCAACACTCTCACCCCCGTTGGATAATATCTCCTCCTAATGGCCCGGAAGCCCATCCATTATTAACATAAAGATGCACATTCAATTTTAAAAGCAACCGCTTTTATGGAAAATGAATTTCATTGCGTTAATGAGCCCAATTTCTTGTCTAATGGCATCTGATTTTCTTTTCATCCAATGATGGCACTACATCCATGACAATTGTTTCGTGGCAAAATTCCAGTTGATATGGTTTGTTCCTCTTCTTTTTTATAGGTATTTTCAATTGGTTATCATTAAATGCTTTTGAAATTATAGTCTCCTCTTTCACATTAATATAAAACCAACCACCATAAAGATTATATGTGGAACCTATTTTTTGAGTGAGAAAAATAGAATTCTGGATGTACTAAATAATTTTTCTTTCTCAATAGCCTTGTTATACACAACAAAATTGAATGAGCCTACCAAAGGTTCTACACTATCATAATAATTTTTTTTCAAATAATTTTAATTCGAGCTTATTATCAAAAATAGTTTACTCTTTATTCAATCTCGGTATTTTTTAAGTTTTTTTTATTGAGATCCTCAATTTTTTTCAACTTTATTGCAATTCTTTATTTAAAGAATTTGTTAATGCACTTTTTTTTAGTTATCCATCCAATATGACATATTAAAATTAACGGTAATCAATTATAAATGAATGCATAGCATTGTAAACCCCAAATGTCACGGTTTTCGTCTAAAAAACTAATTTTTTAAATTATTATTAAATTAATATATAGTATTTAAAAATAAATAAGGAAAAACAAAACTATTCTCACCCCCTTTATCTAACCCAACTCATTTTTTATTATTATTACATAGCTTTGTTTCCTCTATCAAACTCATTCTTCTTCTTTCTAATTTGAAATTTGTAACTTTTAAATTCAAAATCTTTAAATCACTAAAATCTCATTAAATCAAACTCATATCATGTTTTTTTCTCGAACAGCTTTTAAGGTTGAAATGTTTCAATCTTATAATCTTCTCACTTCAATTTTAGTGGTTTTGGTCCATGTTTTCTATCTAGAGTCTTTGGCTACATAGGTATTTTTATTCTATTTAGTTTTGTTCCTTTGCTTTATGGTTAACTAAATAACACTATATTATATTTAACCGGGACTAAATCATTAGCTTTCTAGCTATGTACCATGTACCAACAATGTTCAATAACAATCATAGCTACTGTTCGATTTTGTTGTTGGAACCTTGTAGGGTTGGAAAATGAGAAGTAAAAGGAATTTAATTCTTAGCCATAAGATAAGATGCAAGCAATGTTTGAGAGAATGAGAATTGAAAAAGAAGGAAGAGGAAGAGAAAGCTCAACTACCAAATCAGCAAGAAGATTCCATTTGTTCGGGTTTTGTTACAAGATCAAATTTGTTTCTTTTGTTCATAATAGTTTTTTAGTTTCACCTCTTTCAATTTTATTAAGAGAATAAATGTGTTTAGTCGTTAGTAAGTTAATTACTTGTTAGATAGTTAGCTATTGGTAAGTTTGTTAGTAAGTAGTTATAACAAATTCCTTAGTGAGTGAGATGTAGAGGATTATATCCTCATTGTATATCTATCAAACATGTAAATGAGAATGAGTAGCACAATAGCTCATTATCCAGAATCCATTCTCACATTTCTTAACATGGTATCGAGCATTTTTTCTTTGTTTGGATTCCAAAAAAATTTCTTCTCTCGCTTGAAATCACAAGTAGACTCTACATTCCTTCATTCTTTTCTCGTGTTCTTTACTTGAATCTTGAGAATATTCTTATTCGGATATACATTACTTCATTCTTTTTTTATGAAAAATTCTTGCATATTCATAACTTTTCCTAAGAAACTCCTTTGATCATGGAAAATCAAACTCTTTCAATCCCTAATTTTACCCAATTTGCTATACATATAGATCTTAATGATTCTTTATTCCTTCATCTTTCCGACACATCGAATCTAATCCTTGCCACTCATTTACTTCAAGGAGAGGATGATTATAGCTCATGGAGTAAAGCAATGGTGATTTCATTAAAAGCAAAAAGTAATGATGGCTTCATCAATTATCAATGGACGATGTTCACAACCGAGTTCGACTCATCCGATTTTGCTCAATGGAAGAAGTACAATGCATTAATTCATGCTTGGTTACTCAACTCTATATCTACTCAACTATTCTACGAGTTTGGTTTACTATCAATATGTCGAAGATGTATGGAATGATCTAAAAGAGAGGTTTGACAAACAACACGGATTAAAGTTTTTTCTCTTCATAAGGAGATCAATTCATTAATTCAATGATCGAATACTCGTGGTAGCCTACTACCCAAAACTAAGGCATTTATGAGATTAACCGGCTTCTTTGATTCCTCCACCAAATTGTGTTTGCTCGCATTGTCACAATACGGTGTCTTAATCTTTCATTATATACTCTCGATAACATAAAGTCATGCAGTTCCCGATGGGTCCGAGAGAGGCCTTTTCGAGCCGTGAGATCACAAATCCTATTAATGCAACCAATGCCAACTCATTCTCGGGCATACTCTATAGTATCTAATAAGGAGTCACAGAGAGGCATCAATGCATTACCAAGTGCTCCTACCGTATTTTACTTAGCCGAAGTCAATTTCCAACCAAACAATATAGAAGAGACAATGTCCGTGATTATTGCCATATACTCGGTCACTTGAAGGATAGTTGTTACAAGCTCCATAGGTATCCATGTAATTTTTGAATACCATTTGACAATAACGAGAGATCGGAGAGGTGGTGCTTGTCGAGTATTGGAGACTGAAATAAATCTTTCAATGCTCACAATATGAGTTATATTGGAGAAAGTACTAATGTCACGCTAGTTGTGTTGCATGATAATCATCCTTCGGACGCTTCTCATGGTTATGTTACGGAGGAGAATAGTGCAGCATATAAAGCAAGTAGCACCAGCTTTTCTTACCACATCAATACCGATAAATTCTTAATCTATCATCCACGGATGCGAGAGAAAAACATTCATTCTGATCCATTTGCAGCAAATATGACAAGTATATATTTTTGCAATTTGCTTAATGTAGAATCTAGAAATGATGATATGTGGATAGTAGATACATGAGCTAACTTGAACATGACTGGTAGATTCAATTGCTTGGTTAATCCTACAAAATTGGCATCAAACCTTATCGTCGATTACCTAATGGTTACGTGACTCTAGTCACCCATATAGGTTCTATTTTCCTTCTAAATTTGTCTTTCATAATGTGTTATATCTTTCGGACTTCAAATTCAATCTCTTATCGGTAGCTAAATTCACTGCCGATAACCATTGTTTTGTAAGTTTTTACCTTAACCTTTATCTATTTCAAGACCCTTGGACTGGAAGGATAAAGGAGATTGGTAAAGCATGCAATGGACTATATCATGTCTTGCCAAGTAATTTTTCAACCTCACCAAATAGGTTGAACATCCGTAAACATATTTCATCATTCGATATCGTCAATTTGAATTCCATGTTTTCGAGCCAATCCATGCCTATTTGTAATACTCGTCAATCGAGAGAAAAATTATCCATTTAATATAGGCATTCGGCACAAATGATTTGGTCATGTTTCTCATGCACGTCTCGAGTTAATTCCTATGCTTAGAATGATTTACGCTCATAATTTTTCTCGTGATATTTGTCTATTTGCTAAGCATGCTAGACTACCATTCCCTTATAGTAATTTTGTTACATATTTCCCATTTGAATTCATTCACGTGGATAGATGAGGTCCATATAAACATCCTACCTACCGTAATGAAAGATTTTTTCTATCCATTGTTAATGATTTTTCCCGAGGCACTTGGACTTTTCTTTTACAAAAAAATCTCAATTCCTTCGATTGCTTCAATAATTTGTTGCTATGGTTCATTCTTAATTTTCTAGCATCGTTCGTAGAGTAAAGTCCGATAGAGGTTCTAAATTTCTCCAACATGCTTATCAAAACCTTTTTCTTCCAATGGTATTTTGCATCAAATAATAGTGACCTATACTCCACAACGGAATGGAGTGGTTGAGCGCAAACATAGGCACATTCTTGATATTGCTAAAGCTTTTATGTTCCAATCTCATATTCCAATTCAATTACGGTGTGATCGTGTTTTGACTTTCACCTATATCATTCATAGAACTCCTACACCTCTTATAAATGGTAAAACTCTCCTTGAAATCTTATTTTACAAGTCTTCGTTTACTCTCATTTTTGAGTTTTTGGTTATCCATGTTATGCAAAAGCTTTGCCTTGTATGGATAAGTTTGCTCCTCGGTCCACTCGCTTATGTTTTCTTAGGTTATCCTTATTCTCAAAAGGGATACAAAGTTTTAGATTTAGCAACTCAAAAAACCTTTGTCTCTAGGGATGTATTGTTTCATGAAACTTTATTTCCATTTCGATCTTCATCCTATATTCCTGCCTCATCTTCTTCATAAATTCCTATGTCTAATCCTATTCATCAATGGTTATATGATGATTCTAGTTCACATCCTACTCGTTTAACTTCCAGTTTCTACTTTTACCGATTCAATTCTAGGTTCTAATTCTACTTGTTTCGGTTCCGGGTTCTTCTCCTAATGAGGTTTTGCCGATTCTAATAAATCTTCCACATAAATTGCTTCCCCCAATCCTACTATTATGTTACCCCTTCGTAGGTCTACCGAGTTTCCAAGCCCCCTTCTGGCATTCGGATTTTTCATGTCCCACCCTTCCAACATCAAATCTCGGTTCTTTTTCTTCTTTTTCTTTATATCCTTTTCATGATTTCATTTTCTATAATTCCTTATCTTCTTTTCATATAAATTTTATATCATCTATTTCTTCTATTCGTGAGCCTAATTCATATAAATAAGTTGTTAATGATCCTAAGTAGGTTGATGCCGGGAACAAAGAACTCCGAGCTCTTGAATTTAATAACACATGGTCTTTAGTTCCTTTGCCAGCTGGCAAACATCCAATAGGGTGTAAATGGGTTTATAAGGTCGAATTTAATCCCGATGGGAGTGTGGAGAGATATAAAGCTAGGTTAGTCGCTAAAGGATATACTCAATTAGAAGGGATTGATTATAGTGATACTTTTTCTCCTGTTATAAAGATGATAACTGTCGGGATTATTGTTGCATTGGCTGCAATGCATGATTGGTCTCTATACTAATTAGATGTAACTAATGCATTCTTGTAAGGGGACCTTTATGAGGAAGTTTATATGTCTTTGTTGAGGGTTTGGTGTGTCGATTATCGAAATCTCGCTATGGCTTGAAGCAAGCCTCTAGATAGTGGAACTCTAAGTTTACTGAGAAAATGTTAGTTGTTGGTTTTTATCAATCTCATTATGACTATTCTATGTTCACCAAGAAACGGAATAGCAAGATTATTGTGTTGTTAGTATATGTTAATGATATCTTAATAACGGATGACGATGAAGAAGGAATACATGCATTAAAGTTGTTTTTGCATCGGACATTCTATATTAAGGATCTTAGTTTTCTAAAGTATTTCTTGGGAATAGAGGTGGCTAGGTCAAAGAAATGGATTTGTCTTAACCGGAGGAAATACACTTTAGAGTTATTACATGACGATGGCTTGTTTGGTTCAAAACCAAGTAGACATACCACTGGAACAAAATCGAAGTTAACTTCCATAACTTATGATGCATCTTGTGCTTATTGAACTCTTTGATCTAGTCATTAATGATCCAAGTCGAGTACTAAAGATTAATGGGGAAGCTGATCTATCTTACTCGTCACCAAACCAGCTATTTACTATGTAATGCTCTTAGCCAATTCATGCATTAACCTAAAGTCTCCTATATGCATTCTCGCTCTTTATGTTTTTATATATCTAAAAAGAAGTCCAGTGTCTTGGCATATTGTTTGCTTCTATTAATCGAGTTGAGTTTACGCGTATACTATGATTCTAATTGAGCTTCTTGTCCCATGTCAAGAAAATCCCTTATTGGTTTTTGTGTTTTCCTTGGTTCTTTTTTGCTGTCATGGAAAACTAAGAAGCAAAACACCATTTCTCGCTCATATGCTCGAAGCGAATACGAGCCATGGCTACCGCCACTTGTGAGATTGTTTGGCTTGTTGGTTTGTTGAATGATTTTGGGGTAACGGGGTTGGCGATAGTCGAGCTTTACTCGTGATAATAAGGTTGCTTTTCACATTGCTTCCAATCCAATCTTCCATGAGAGGACAAAACACGGATATAGACCGTCATCTAGTATGGGAAAAGCTTAAGTCCGGTTTGATCAAGCATGTCTATGTTAACATCGGTGATCAAGTAGCGAGATATACTCACCAAGGGTCTTGGTCGACAACGACATCATTAGCTTCTTTCCAAGTTGGATGTTTATGATATTTATAAACCTCCAACTTGAGGGGAGTATTAAGAGAATAAATGTGTTTAGCGGTTAGTAAGTTAATAACTATTAGATGGTTAGTTGTTGGTAAGTTTGTTAGTAAGTAGTTATAACAAACACCTTTGTGAGTGAGATGGAGAGGATTATGTCCTTATTGTATATATATCAAACATGTTAATGAGAATGAGTAACACGAGTAGCTTATTATCCGGAATCCATTCTCACGTTTCTTAACAAATTTCAATTGCAAATTGTATTGAACTTGATTAATGGCAGCGAGGAGTGAGAATGAATTTATGAAGGAAAAAGGATTGGGTTGGAAAATAATAGAGGTGAGGTGATTTGTTTTTCCTATTTTTTTAAATTTTATATATTAATTTATTAATAAAAATATTTGTAAATTATTTTTTTTTAATTCCGTACAAAGAAACTATGATTTGGGACATATTATGTCATGTATGGCTTAGTTATTGGTTGCCTTTAACTTTAATTTTTATATCGGATAAATAGTTGACATCATTATAAAAGAAAATCTGAATCAACAAATCTCTAAGAATAGCGAGTCTTAATCAAGTTAAAAAATAAAAGATCTCAAAAAATATAGTATTGAATATGGAGTAAACTCTTATAAAAAGAACTAATTTGGAATTAACCTAAAAATGTTAGAGTGAGAGCGAATTTTTTTTTTTTTTTTTACCGGTCTTCTATGGATAATTTACTCAATCTAAGTTAGAGTCATTCCTAGTTTGGCCTCAATTCTATTTTCTTAAGAGATTTTTCATTAAAATTGGTAACAACGGGCATTTAAAATTTGACAAATCAGAAGGGAAACTCTATTAATGAACACAAAATCTCTTGTACAACCACTGCCTTAGAAGCCACAAGAACTCGAATCATGATAGTCCTCAAAAAGGGCAAGGAGCCAAGGATCCATCCGGCTAGCTAGATGTTCTGGTGTGTAGGGCGATGAATTTTAAAACTTGGTGGTCTAACCCAAATCTGCATCTAGCCGCTATATATTAGAATGCAAGCACGCTGGGTGATGACCATCAATTTTTTTTTTTTTTTTGCTAGCCTGTTGACCATAGAAAAAAAACTCCACAACTCTCATAGCGAAAAACAAAAATAAAAATCACATAAAATTTTGTTATTTCTATTTCAACATACCAAGAAATTCATGATGATCGACCACCCCTCCTGTACTATCTGTTTTCATTTACCCACTCATCATATTTATCGTACCTTAAAAATACAAGAACATGTGTTAAAAAAAAAAAAAGACGGGGTAGGGGAACAAGACATGGTCACATACATGTAATTTTCTATGCCAAATAATTTATCTCAAGGCCTGTAATGGCCTAAACTTGTGGCTGATTTGGTTCATCTTTGCGGCTTCTCACACTTTCAATTAGCCTGGTCAACATATCAAGCACCTTACTAGTTTTTTGTTTTAGAATGTTGTACAAGTCTTCGCATGACTCATATGCCACTCCCACAAACAAGCAGGCCCATATGACCGAAATAATGCATCCCAAAATGGGAGCGAGAATCGTTAGCAGCAATATTGCAGCAAGGGCACTAGCAAAGAGTCGGAGATTGCCAACAACTCTGTAGTAAATTGAATCTCGAGCTCGTAGTGTAACTTCGGCCACCGATGCGGTGGCATATATAAATAGAGCAACAAGAAAAATTGGCATGATAGTTTCGTGACTATCAAATGGAGAGCCTTTAATTGATTGATACTTCACTTGAATTTGATTGTTTAGTGTCCCAACGAGGAGAGCAAAAATTCCATGTTGTGTGATGATGCTGTTGTCACAACAAAAATTTAAATCGCTTAATTAGTACACAAAAATTAAGCACGATGAGTGGCTAATTTCTTGATTGAAACCTCAACAGGAATATGGAACACTGAAATAAATAAATAAAGTGAGGAAAGAATTAATGCTAGAAAGGGAAATTAAAGTGCTGGGCTTAAACTTCTCAAAAAAAAAAAAAAAAAAGCGAAGAGATTTAATTTAGACTAACCTTTCTTTTTCGAAAGCAAGATTTGGTCTGGGGTTTTCAGCCATTTTGCTCTGCTCTGCTTTCTTTCTCTGCACAGATAATGTCTTTGCGCTTGAGGGAGCTCAAATTGGTTTCAAGTGTTTATGCTGAAATTCGTTGATAGAGGGACCTTTTATAAACGTTAGGAGAGGGAAGCGGGTTTTGTCTAATTTTTGCGAATTGGTGGAACATTGGGTGGGGCCTTTCATTTCTTGGAAGCTTGGAATAACCATAAAGAAGTTCGGAAGTCAATATACGTCTTCAACTTTGTCCAAGACGTAATTTCAGAACCCCGTGTCTCCCAAAAAGATCCATATCAGTCCCTAGAGTAAGAAAAATTGCAATCATTAATCAAACTTTGGTTAGCAGATCAAAAAAGTCTTCTAACACAGCATTACAAGACTAATAAGAAAGTTTACACAAAAAAAAATGCTTAATTAAACAGTCAACTTGCGACATGTTTTGATCATAATAATTTGAAGGACTCTTTTTCTTTATATATATATAAGTGAGACAAAAATAATATTACCTTCTATTTTACTTGCAATCCAAACCATACATTACCATTCCATTTGAAAGTTCTACCATGTGGTTCGAATCCGGCAGTGACAAGGCCTTTGGTCATATAATATTTCGACTCTTTTGTTATACATTTTGATGAGATCATGATATTTATATTATGATTATTGATGAGATATGTTTTAGCCTTAAATTGATTGTGCATTGATTCTATCTCAATGAATGTTGATTTGATGAGAAGTGCCTATAAAATAAGTTTTTATTTGATAATTGAAAGATTTTTTGATAGCTAAATTAGTTTTAAAAAATAACTGTTTAACTGGAATAAACTCTAGAATAAATAATTAAAATAATTATTTTTGCATATAGACGATAATTGATAATATAAATATTTTAAACTTAGAAAGTAGCTTATAACGTTTGTTTGTTAGTATTATATAGAAGAAGATATGATGAACTTGTTTGGAATGAAGTATATAATTGTTTCTTTTCATGCACTCAACAATTCTTAACACTCACTTCAAGGGTTTGGGGTTAACCTGGCTAATAATTTATGTTTTTTAAATTAATGACTGTCTTTTACAGGAACCATAGAGGGTAGAGAGATGAAAACTAGGAAAGAGACTTGTTTGTGTGCATGGGTAAGCAGTGCAACGTACAATTCTTTCTAGTTCGTTTGTTTGTTTGTTTGTTTGTTTTTTTTTTTTTTTTTTTTTTAAGAAAAGGTGATTGAAGGAATTTAACTTTTTTTTTATTTGAAGTATTTTACCAGAAAAGACTGTATTCTCATTTTTTTTTGTGTGTTTGGGTCATTTTTTTTTTAAATAGTCAATAAAAGAAGATTTTTCCGATCAAAGAGAAAATATTTTTATATTCTGAACTTGGAAAAATATTTTGCATCTTATCAGTAATAAATCATGGGTCCTAAAAAATCCGTTTCCAAAAAATAAAATAAAAGGAGACCTCTTTGCCTAAAAGAATTGGGAATATTTTACAAAAATAGTTACAAAAATTTATCTATTCATGTAATAATATATTTACTTTTCTACAGACCTTCAAAATTTGTCTCTTTAAATAATAATATAGTTGCTTTTCCGAAGAGGTCTAAAGTGTAGAAGACCGATCGATTTTAAAGATAAAAATCTTCGAAAAAAGACAAATAATCAAGATAAAAATATAAAGAATGTAAATATTCACAAAACGGTCTAAGATAATTCGATAATGAGTTTTTAGAAGAAGTCTAAACGCTTAAGAAAAATCAAGAGACTTTGATAAATTATGTCAATACGGGAAGAAAATAAGACCGAAAAGAAATATTTATTGACGATATTTTTACGTATAATATTGCAATTGATATTTTGAATAAAAACGAGGATCTTGAGCCTAAATCTATTGAAGAATATTAACATAGAGATAATTGGCTTAAATAAAAAAAAATCCAAGCTGAATTATATTCTCTTACACAACGAGTAATTTTTGGAACCATAATTAAAATACCCGAAGATTTTAAATCAATGGGATACAAATAGGTATTTGTGTAAAAGAGAAATAAGAAAGATGAGATTGTGAGATACAAAACAAGACTTATGATGCAAGAGTTTTTGCAAAAATTTAACATTGATTATGAAAAAATATATTCTCTTGTAATAGATGTAATTATATTTTGTTATCTCGTTAGCTTAGCAAAATAAATGAAAAACTTCATGTGCATGCATTTAATAGATGTGATCATAACTTATTTGTTCACTTAAAATGATATCTATATGAAAGTCTTAGAAGAACGTAAGATGCCTCAAGCGTATAATACATATTTTTAGAAAATGTACTCAATTAAATTACGTAAATCTCTATAAAGATTATTTTAGTATTTTTTTTTATTATTTTAGTTTTTAGAAATTTAATTTATGTTATACTTTTTATATTTATTTTTTATTTTTTAATTTTCACTTTTTATTATTAACCCGGGTGCATGTGATATAGTTACCTCAATGGATATTTATTGAAAAAGGTTATAAGGTTATTTGTTAATGTAATTTTATAAAAACATTTGAAAAAGAGTTTGTGATAATTGTTGTATATATTGGTGATTTAAATATTATTAGAACTCTTGAAGAGATTTCAATTGTCATAAGTTGTCTAAAAAGAGAATTTGATATGGAATACCTTGAGAAAAAAATTATCTCTACTTGTAGTTCAAACACTTAGAGAATGAGATTTTTATCCATCGATTAACTATATATAGAAAAAGTTCTACAACGATTCTATATAAAGCTCATCCATTGACTAGTTTAATGGTAGTTTGTTCACTTGATATCCAAAAGAACCATTTTCGACCTTGAAAATATAACAAATAACTACTTGGTCCTAAGTATCATATCTTAGTCCAATTGGTGCATTGATATATCTTACTAATACCACTCGATCCGATATAGAATTTTTTGTAAATTTATTAACGAGATATAGTTCTACTCTAATATGAAAATATTATAATGAAATTAAACATATACTACGTTATCTCCGAAGAAAAATTGATATAATATTTATTTTAGTCAAATAAATCAAAGTCAAGTTTAATTGACTATATAGGTACAAGTTATTTATTTAATCCATACAAAATTCAATGATGGATCGGCTATTTATTTACACATGGTAATTCATCTATATCATGATATTTTTTGAAGTAAACTATAGATGCTACATCTTTAAACCATGTAAAAATACTAACAATTCATAAGGTAAGTCTAGAATATATTTGGTTAAGATCAATGACCTATCATGTACGAGACATATGCGGTTTATTCACTAGCAAAGAAAGTTACAACAATATCATATAAAGATAATATTGCTTGCGTAACTTTATCATAGGAAAGATACATCAAAGTGACAATCCGACAAATTTGTTCATTAAGGCATTACCTATCATAACTTTTAAGAAAATGATTCACAAGATTGGAATCCATTATCTTAGAAATATTAAATAAAGTCATCAACAAAGAAAGCCCAATATGGGGATCAATGTGTTTACGAAATATTACACTCCTTTTCCTTTATTAGAATTTCTTTTTTCATTGGGTTTTTTCATAATTAGATTTTAACAAGGCATGTTCCTTGTACAATGAGTATTTAAGAAGGAGTGTTATAAAATAATGAATAACCATGACTATTTTTATTTTCACCACTAATCATATTGCTTCATGAGTTTTTTTTTAACTCACACACCAAAAACTCCTAATAGAATTACTCTGCTAGGATCCGAATCCGTGATATCTTGCAAGAGACCATTGTCACTAAGCTACAAGCTTTTTGGTTATTGTTTAATGAGATTCAATTCACCATTATCATGTATGATAACGCGATAATTGAAAGGTTAATGCAACTTTTGATGAACTTATTATAACTCTTTCCAATTCTCTTCCCGATCCTAAAATTTATAAATAGCATTGATAGTTCATTAGTTAAATGTAATATTTTTGTAACGTTAAGAGAGTTGTTTTGAGTTACTATTACTTTATTCATTTTACTTCATAGTGAAATCATTTTTCTATTATTTTTTTCTAAAATTTTATTATCGATATCATTTTTTTTATAACAGTAACTATTATTTATATAATAAATTTTGTGTTGTTATAAAAGAAAAAAAAATTAACTTTTGAACTTTCTATTAATTACTAGTATATAAATAATATTATTTCTATTTTATTTGAAACAAGGTTAAGGAGAAAAGGAAACGAGTATATGCTCATAAGAGAGCCCACTTTTACTCCAGACGAACGAGGCGTCTTTCTTATTTTTAGTTGTTGTCGTTGTTGTTTTTTTGTTTTTAAAAAAAGAAGGTTAAATTACCCACGCGACGTCCCTACTTGCTACTTACGAAGAGTACGGACGTATTGCAGGCTTTATTGTTGCTAGTCAAAGTCTCAAAGATCAGAGAAGACGTTTCCCCTTCTATTTCCGGTTTTACTTTTTTCCAAAGGTCTCATCCGTCTATTTGTTGATCAGTTGTTAGGCATATTTAATTTATTAGATCATTGATAAACTAAACAAAAACACATGACATATGAAACAAGCGACTTATAGTGTCAATTTTCCTTCTATATATCCACGTAGTGTGAAATTGGATTGGCCTGTGTCAATGATAGGCCAAGTCTGGTTTATGATTTTTTTGTTTTTTTAACTCATCTCAAATTCTTAACAAAATTAGTCTGTTAAAATTTAAATTTATAATTTTTTATTATAAAAAACCACATCACAGCTATCTTGGGTTTAAAAGAGAGAAATTATTGTTGTAACATGGAGGAGTTATTCCATATTTATGAAACTGTATTATTTTTCTTTCTCATAAAAATGGAGGATTTATAATTAATTTTCATGATAAATCCTATATTTATATAAAATATGAGAGGATAATTCAAGCTGCATTTGATAATTTTCTTGTAATATGAATCTAGAGGTTTGGCAGGGTGTGGGATTTCCTCCATAAACCATTATTTATCATTATTTAGGAGGATTTGCCAGCGCGTGGTGGATTCACAATCCACTGCCTTGAGTCACTTGAGTATAACTAATGTGCTAGTTTAGTGCTAATGACTTATTTAAAATTCAATAAAAAATAAAAAAATTTAAATTCAATACGCATAGGTAGATCAAAAAAATTATCGTAATGCGAAACTAAACCCACTAATTGTCTTCTTTTTTTCGTCGGAAGGAAAATCCATTAGTTGTTTGAGAGAAAAATACTGCGTCTCAAAAATTGATTCTATGGAGAGGGAGAGAAATCGAGAAAGGGGTAAAAACCAACATAAAAATGGGGCCAGCCCATTCAAAAGGGCACACTACAATTCAATCATTTCAAAATCTGAGATTGCCGTGATAATGGGCCAATTGCTCATCATCAGAGTGTATCTTCATTAATAGCCTGGAAGCCCATCTATCATAATAGCTAGAGTGGCATCAAGGTCCACCTTATAACTAGCCCACGGGATAGTCCAAACGATTTAGGCCACAACATCTAAATGCTTGTTACATGAGCTCTTTTAAAGATTACAGGCGCGATGAAAGACCATACCTCCCAACAAACACACGCCATATCCTTGTATTGTACCCAAAACATTATTGCAACACTTATCTCAATATAATTCATAACAAATCTCACATTATTAGATGTTAATGTAAAATAATTCATCCGTTAATTTTTTTATCAAATTAATTAATTTTTATTAGTTAACTAATGTTTGATCAGTTAAGTTACGACACGTATCAACTTAAAAGGAAAAATATAATTTTTTAATCTAGAATAATTAATAATTAATGTAGAATCATTAAAAATTAAAAAAAATTCTAGATGCATTTTTTAAAATAATCAATTTTTATGAGTTGACTAACGTTTGACCAATTAAGTGATGACACGTATCAACTTAGGAGGAAAAATATAATTTTTCAATCTAAAATAATTAATAATTATTACGGAATCATTAAAAATTTTAAAACAAATTCTAGAGAATTTTTTTAAATAATCAATTTTTTTAAAGATTTTAATGATTTTATAATAATTACCGATAAAGAAATTTTAAAAAATATATAAAGAAATTATTTCCAATTTTTAATTGTTTTATAATAACTATTAATAAAATATTAAAAATATATAAAGAATTTGCTTTCAAATTTTTCAATTTTATAATAATTATTAATAAAGAAAATTTTATAAAAAAAATGTAAAGAATTTTTAATGATTGTTAATTGTTTTAATAAAGAAAACGGATTATCCGTTAATTTTTTCTATCAAATTAATCAATTTTTGTCAGTTGACTAACGTCCGACTAATTAAGTGATGACACGTATCAACTTGAGAGGAAAAATATAATTTTTTAAAATAATTTTTAATCTAAAATAATTAATAATTATTATAGAATCATTAAAAATTAAAAAATATTCTAGAAACATTTTTTAAAATAATCAATTTTTTTCAGATTTTAATGATTTTATAATAATTACTGATAAATAAATTTAACAATATATATAAATAAATTATTTCCAATTTTTAATTATTTTATAATAATTATTAATAAAAAAATTAAAAAAAAATCTAAAGAATTTGCTTTCAATTTTATAATAATTATTAATAAAGAAAATTTTATAAAAAAAATCTAAAGAATTTTTAATGATTGTTAATTCTTTTAATAAAAATTTTGAATTTTTTTTATTTTTTCTGTTTTTACAAAAACTTTTTTTAGGTTTTTTAAAATATATTTTTAATAATTATTATTATAAATTCATTGATAATTAAAAATATGATTATTTTAAATTTTTTTCTTTGTATTTTTTAAATTTTTAATGATTTTATAATAATTATTAATTTTTTTATTTTTAAAATTTTTTCTTTATCTTAAAGTTGACACGCTTCACTACTTGATTGATCGGACATTAATTAATCAATAAAAATTGATCAATCCAAAGAAAAAAAGTTATTAGAGAGATTGTTTTGCGTCAACATTTAATAATACGGAGTTTATTATGAACTATATCTAGATGGAAGGATTATAATAATGTTTTCGGTATAGTACAAAGACACGAGGTATATTTAACCCCATGCCTCACTGCATGTTGAGGAAAAAAAAAGAAAAAATCTCTAGCAACTTCATAATTATTGTTATCTGTATGATTTATTTATTTGGATAATACCACTTTGTTATTATCTGAAACAACCCTATCACTTTGTTATTTATTTGGATAATATCACTATTGTCATTGCAAATTGTCTATGCATAAAAATCACCATGATTTTGTCAAAAAGTGTGTTTTTTTCTTAACCGAAAGAAAGAATTTGCACATCAGTAATTTTTTATTTGTACAGCTTAACATAATTCATGTGATTATATATGATAGGTTGTGAAAACGGAGTTAAGAAACTGTATGATCATGAGCCTAGGGATATTAATTTGGTTTTTTAAATAGACAAAAGATCTTTTTTCAAATTCTTGTTGGTGGCTTATTATTTTGTGCTTAATTACTGCAAAGTCCCTATATTATATAAAATGACTTCAATTTCCGGATCATCACTAGTATAAAGGTTGCCTTAATCCAATGGTCTGCATGGAGACGCAGTTCAGGCCCAATACAACAAAAAGGAGCAGCGTATTTTCTAGTTCGAAAATCAAATATTCCCTTGTTTGTTCACTTCCAAAACCAGGTTCAAACTCACGCTTCCCTTACGATAGTATGCTTCCGCAGGAGATTCCATGGAGATTCCTCGGAATTATCCTCTCCTAGATCCTTTCTCCCTTCCCTACAACATTATAGTAACATGCTTTCACTCACCCACCAATCAAAACACCAATAGATAGGATGTAGGACCCACTTCATGAATAGTACGGAAACCAATCCCAATAATGAATAAGTCCACAAGGATGTGAAACTAGACAACCTCAAGGCCCCACTTGCTAAAATTTAATGTAAAACTACACCTTAAAGTCATGTTTCGTAAATTTGGTCTTTGGTAAGAGGATAGTAACCGAATATGCTAGGGAATTCTCTTAATTCGACGACACTTTTATCGCTTTCCTAACAGCCACTTCATCACGCCAAGCATATGCCCCCTAATATTCTACTAATCTTTTGCTAATAAATCCCCCCATTAATTCATTTCTTTCCCACATTCCACACTCTTTACAACATTCCACACTCTTTACAATTCCAACTTTTTTGGTCTTACAACTTACAGTTTTGTAACTTTGGTAAGAAAATATTAGAGGTTGATTTTTTGAGAAGCATAGTATTCGGACATACCAATGAAGTTTGGTAAGAGATTGAAGCAACAAGTTCAAGAAACTTTGCCAGATTGGCGTGACAAGTTTTTGTCTTACAAGGAACTGAAGAAGCTTGTTCGTTTAATTTCATCGGCTCCACCTTTCTTGAATGGATCAGTTGAATACGGAAAGGCAGAGGCTCAGTTTGTGCGTCTGCTGAACGGTGAAATTGACAAGTTTAATGCTTTTTTCATGGAACAAGAAGAGGATTACATTATTCGACACGAGGTAAGCTTTTTGCTTTTTTTTCCCTGGCAGTTTTTCCTCTTCTTTCTTGCCTGTTAGACTGGACTTGGACAGAGAGTATGAAGTATGATCAAGCTAGTTTTGGTGGGTTATTAATGGATGCAAAGTAAGTTGAGTCAAAAGCTAGCTTACTTGTTACATCTATCTGGCTAAATAATTAAATTGATCATCAATTATGGTGCTAAATTGGGGTCAAAAAGGAAATAATGGTGACTCAGTTGACTTGATCCATTGGACTATTGAGTTAGCTCAATCAAATATGGAAATAATAGCTTCACAAGCAGTGTTAGTGAAATTTGAAAAACCTCCATTAAACTCTTAAATGTGGATCCCATGTCAGAGACTTTGTGTAACTTGTTGGACAACATTTTTACGAGATCGATATACTTTATACATTTTAGTTGCATTGCTTATTTTATCCAATCTTAATTATTCTTTAACATTTTACCTTTTAAAACAATATATCTAATATTCGAAAATAACTTTATATACAAAGGAATTTTTTTTCCATTTATTAAATACCAACAAGAAGAACGTATATTTACATTAATCATAATTTCACGAGAGGTGGTTTTATTAGTAATATTAGTGAAAAATAAGCATTTCATGAAAATCTAAGAATGTGGGTCCCTCATTTTTAGGCTCCGTGTTAAATAAAATTTATACAAAATTAATATATTTTAATACTTTGATCACTCTATTTGTTCTCTTGAATCTTAATTATTATTTTTTTCACTTTAAATAAACATGCGCATATACATGCATGAAGTTTGAAACTAGTATGATTGGCTTGCTTTTTATGATTTGAAAAATGCTAATTGTAAGATCCCATAGAAATAAAATTAGTTTCATAAACTCGATGTTAGCGAGCTGATGCACGTATTGTGAATGTCTTAAAATCTAGCTAACAAATAAGGTAACTCCGAACTCAAATTTTTGTAGAATACCGTAATTGCTTCAGTTCAATAAATTATTGGAAAGACAAGTCGTGAATTTCAATTCCCAGCGAAGTTATAACCGAAAATCTGCAAATGCAATGCAGGAATTAAAGCAGAGGATTCAGAAAGTGATTGATACTCGGGGGCCAAGTGGAAGTCAGCCTTCAGAGACAGAGTATGATGAGGAGATGCGTAAGATTAGAAAAGATATTGTCAATTTCCACGGGGAAATGGTCCTTTTGGAGAATTACAGCAATATCAATTACACAGGTACTTAGCTAATTAGCCCTGACTAGGAGCTATGCAGTAAGCACCCTCACTTTCAAAGATCAATAAAATTCTAGCATACACAATGCGATCTTGTAATGTAATAGCAAAAACCAGCTTAACTTTACAATCCCCTGACCAATAACCTAGTTTGTTTAGTGGTATTCTTACATAAGCAAAAAGTTTCAGGTTGGAGTCTCACCTCTATAAAAAAAAATATATATATATTAATAAAAATGGATTACTCGTCGGGAAGGGAAAAAAATAAAAAAACTTTACCATTCCCACTGATAATGTCAGGGCCTAAGGATTATTTATTGTGACTAAAATGTGAAACGAATTTTTGTTAAAAACTAAGATTGTCAAGCTATTAATGTAGGATTGGCCAAGATATTGAAGAAATACGACAAGCGAACTGGTAGGTTATTGCGCCTTCCATTTATTCAAAAGGTGTTGGAGCAACCCTTTTTCATTACCGATCTCGTATCAAAGCTTGTCAAGCAATGCGAATGCATGATAGATATAGTATTCCCAGTAGAGGAAGAAGGAAGAGAAAAGGAAGGAAGAGAAGCAATAACAGTTGCAGGAGAAGGAATTTTTAGGAACACAATTGCAGCTTTAATGACCATGAAAGAAATTAGAAGAGGCAGCTCTACATACAGCCATTTCTCTCTGCCTCCTCTCAATTTGCCAGATTCTGATCTCATTCAGTTATTTCAGCTCAATTCTCCTATACCCATTGTCTAATACAAATGGATTTTGAGACATACTTATATATACTGTCATAGTTACACAACATTATGATGGTTAGTTGATAACTTTACTTCTCTTGGCTTTGATACACGTTACAGCGAAAAGTATTAATGTAGTTTCTAATGGATGTTTGACGAATTCAGATATTCGATTATGAGTTTGTTGGAATATCAATTTGAGGAGATTTGGATCATATAGTTATTTTACAACTCAAATATTTTTTTGCAATAGAATATTCATCGTCTTAGCCCATTAATTAATTTATGTTTATGCATAAAATTCTAAAGATATTATAAAACAAAATAAAAGATTTAAGGAAACTAAAAGATTTAAAGTCACCTACGATTGACTCATATGTACTACCGACTCAGCCAATAATGATGTTATAATTTATGTAATAAAATAATCCTCAGCTCAAATCCTTAATTAATTTATATTTATGAATCACATTTCAAAGATATTATAAAAAAAAAAAAAACTAAAAAATTTAAGGTCAACTATCATGGATTGTGATTCATGTATACTGTTGAATCAGCCAATGCTAATATTGTAATTTTTGTCTTATTTTCAAGCAATTATACAATATTTTGCACTTTAGTTTCTTATGTTTTTATATATTTTATTTTTATATATACATATATTGTTGACTCATTGACTAATGTGTTTATATATTTTACTTCCCTAGATTTAAGGTCATCTATTGTTGATCTGTGACTCATATGTATTATTGACTCAACCAATGATGATGTTGTAATTTACGTAATAAAATAATCCTCGTCTCAAATCATTAATTAATTTATATTTATGCATCACATTCCAAAGATATTATAAAAAAAAAATTAAGATCAGCTTATCATTAATCGTGACTCATGTGTATTGTTGAATAAGCCAATGCTAATGTTGTAATTTTTGTCTTGTTTTCAAGCAATTATACAACATTTTGCACTTTAATTCCCTATGTTTTTATATATACATATATCGTTGACTCATGTGTTTATATATTTTAGTTCCCTAGATTTAGGGTCATCTATTATTGATATGTACTATTGACTCAACCAATAATGATGTTGTAATTTATGTAATAAAATAATCCTCATCTCGGATAATTAATTAATTTATGTTTATACATCACATTCCAAAGATATTATAAAAAAAAAAAACTAAAAAATTTAAGGTCGACTACCATTGATCGTGACTCATGTTTACTCGTTGAATCGACCAATGCTAATGTTGTAATTTTTGTCTTACTTTCAAGCAATTATACAACATTTTGCACTCTAGTTCCTTGTGTTTTTATATTTTATATTTTTATTTATGAATTTTATTTGTAACACACTTTGGTTCCTAAACATAGAGAGGAGAGATAAACGAAGAGAGAGAAAGTGATGGTCAATCTTATTCTGACCACTTTGGCCGATGATGTTCTATTCAATTTATTTATCTTGAAGAGCTGAATTTATTTATGATAGTTTCAAAGCATAAAATAATTATAGAAGGTAGATTGAGATCTCAAAACATTATGAATTTTTTATTTTTTATTTTTTTTATTTTATGTGGATCTGAATGAGTTTTAAGGTTCCAAGCATATTTTTCGACCTCATATCAATGTTTTCAAACTATTTTGTAGCAAAATGATTCATGAGTTGAGTTTTAAGGCCAAAAAATGTTAAAAACCCGTTTTTTAGCTAACTTTTTGACAAACTCAAGTTCGTCAAAAGTTTTAGTAGACGACGTGTTGTCCGTCATACACGACAAACGACATGTCGTCTTTTGTGCAAAACAAATGATGCATCATCCATTGGGTCTTGTATTTTTTTTCTTTTTTGTGGCCAAGCCAATAGGGCCTTTGAATACGAGCCTACTTTTACAAGCTTGCACCTTAGGCCTTCAGGCCCAAACGCGTAGGCCTGACTTGCTTTTTTTTTTCCTTCCTTTCTTTTGTAATTTTTCAGCATTTTTTTTTTAATATTGATTTTGTGCTAAATTCAAGAAAAAAAACATTTTTTATTTTTCATGCAACTTGGCAATCTTCAATTTATCATTCTTGATTAATTTGCTTTCAAATTTAAAATCATTTTTTCAATTTGTCTTTTTGTAGGGAAGCATCCAATAAATTTCTTAATTTAGTTTTTCTATAATTTTATTTATTAAAAAATATGAATTACTTTTCTCTATGTATGGATTTTTGTAAATGTTTAGAATATTGTTGTTCTTTTTCAATGTCTTATATATATATATATATATATATATATATATATATATATATATATATATATATATATATATATATTAAACCTATTGAGTATTGAGTATAATCATGATGTATATTAAAAAAATAAAATTGGATCATCGGTTTTATTAAAAATTAATTAATATTTACAAACATAACACCAACAATTTATTATTATTATTTTTTTAGATATTTTAAAATTAGTTTTTTGGAATAAAATAATTAAAATAATATTTTAAAAGAACTATTCAATAATTCAAATACGAGTTTTTAATACTATACTATAGATTATTTTATGATTAAATATATATTTAAATCAAATGCATATGCTTTCAAAAAATAATCTTCTCATCAACATCAAATAAAAATAAAAAAATATTTTTATTTTTTAAATTTTATATTAATTGTAACTTTATGTTTTTATACAACCTTATAGAAAAAAACTATTAATTTTTTTTTTAATTTGAATTCAATTTTTGATTTATATTGTTGTAAGTTTTTATTTAAGAATCAATGCATACAAAATAACAAATCATGTTGTTGTCTTTTTCACTCGAAAATTTATGAAAAACATAAGAAATAATCAATTAAATGCAAGATTTTGTTTAAAAAGTTGTTAGATTTTATTTTGGTTTCTTTTATTTTACCTTTAATTCAATATATTTTAATAGATTTATAACATAATGTGCAATATCAAATCAAAATGATTTGATTTTATCCAACTCGTAGCATAACGTAAAGAAACTAGTATATACTATGAGTCTCGAAAGGAAGCATGGGAAAGAACTCTCTGCCATCCATGAAGGAATGATATAGTTTAATTCTTGGGTAAAATTCATTTTCAACCCTAAAGATTGACCAATGTTTCACTTCGACCTTTATAGTTTAAAATTTCTTAATATCACCCTTAACCATTAAATATACCGCTCGTTGAATTTGTTTGGTTGTTTTCCTTTTTTTTTTCTCACGAGATATGCATTGTATAACGATGATTGCTCCATCCAAGAGAAGCAATTACTATATATCTAAAAAATGTGGGAGGGTATGAACAAGTGAGTTTTACTCGTTTATCTCCTCACAAATCACTATTTATCAATTTTTTTTAATTTCTAAATTATTTCATTTTGGTCCCTAGAATTTTAAAATAAAAATTTTAACCCCTTGACCAATGCACTACACATGTTTTATTTTTATTTTTTTGGTTTTCTCCTTTGATTTTTTTCCCTCAATTTATGTTCTTTTTTTTAAAAAAAATTAACTAGGTGTTAAAATTTTAAAAAATCAATCATTATTTTTTTCACATAAACTAACGATTATATAATATATACAATATATGTTTAGATTTTAGAATAAATATATGCTATTCTTATTGTTTAAAATTGATCTTTTCAATTTATTATAAAAATTCACATCAAGTTAACTTTTATTCTTATTTTTATATTAAAAATTAATTATGTATCTTCCAACATAATTATTTTTTTCACATAAACTGACAATTATATAATATATACAATATGTTTTTAGATTTTAGAATGAATATATACTATTCTTATTATTTAAAATTGATCTTTTCAATTTATTATAAAAATTCACATCAAGTTAATTTTTATATTAAAAATTAACTATACATCTTTCAACATAATACAAATTATTTACTATGAATATTTTTTTTAAATTATAGAACCAATTTATTTGGAATAAAATAATTAAAATAATTTTTTAAAAGAACCAACCAATTATTCAAATATAGTTTTTATGCTAATTTCATTGATTATTTTTTAAATAAATATCAATTGTTATTTTTTTCACATAAACTAACGATTATATAATAGTTACGATATATTTTTAGATTTTAGAATAAATATATATTTTCATATTTTTTAAAATTGATCTTTTCAATTTATTATAAAAATTCACATCAAGTTAACTTTTATTCTTATTTTTATATTAAAAATTAACTATACATCTTCTAATATAATTATTTTTTTCACATAAATTGACGATTTTATAATATATACAATATGTTTTTAGATTTTAGAATAAATATATACTATTCTTGTTGTTTAAAATTTATCTTTTCAATTTATTATAAAAATTCACATCAAGTTAAATTTTATTCTTATTTTTATATTAAAAATTAACTATACATCTTTCAATATAATACAAATTATTTACTATTTTTTTTTAACACTATAGAACCAATTTCTTTGAAATAAAATAATTAAAATAGTTTTTTAAAGGAACCAACCAATTATTCAAATATAGTTTCTTATGCTAATTTTATTGATTATTTTGTATATATATATATATATATATATATATATATATATATATAATGCAAATACTTGAAAAAAAGAAAATCTTCTCATCAACATTAAATAAGAATAAAATTTTATTTTTTCATTGGTTAATTTTATGCAAGTCTATATATTAATTGTAACTTTATTTTTTGGACACATTATTATAAAAAAAATAATTTTAAAGTACTTTTTTGAATTCTTAATTAAAATTTCAGGTTTAAATTATTACAAGTTTTTATTTAGGAATCCCTAAATAAAGAAGAATAAATCATGTTTTTTAAGTAGAAATTTTATGAAAAACACACACAAAAAATAAGCTATAATGAAATAAAAAATTAATGAAAAAAATTATAAAATTTTGGAATGATTTTTTTTCTATTTATTTGTATTGTTGTGCATATTATTTTAAAAATTAATATTTTCATCAGCATTAAAAAAGAATTTTTTTTTCACTTGTTAATTTTTGAAAAAAATTTTCCATTAATTATAACTTTATTTTTTGAAATACAATATTATAAAAATTATTATAATTTTTTATTTTAAAATCAATTCATAAGTAAGAATGATTTATGTTTTTTTTAAACAAAAAATTTATAAAAAATATTTAAAAATAATTAAATAAAAAATTATAATTTAAAAATTTTAAATGATTTGATCATGTCGGACTCACAACGGAGCACGGACAAGCCATTAATATTTACTAAATTAAGTCGGTTAGTATGTTTTTATAATAGTAGGAAAAGCGATCCTCCCTGGACAACCATAAATGCACCCTGTAAAGCGTATACACAAATTAGTTGGATTTGATTCCGTATGGCCAAGTCCCTTAAAGTAACATATACAGTAGCAATCAAAACAAGCAACCTCAACAACTTGAACTACAATTTTAACATAATACAATTAATTCGGAATACAAATTTACACAGGGGATTATGGCTGTTCCTCCCATAGGCATTTTATCCAGGAACCAATAGTACCAAAAGCCTAAGTATTTTGAATATTATGTCATGATCTTTTGGTAGATCCAAAAACATATGAATAGGAAGAAGTCACGCGAAATCATGATAGCCGAAATAGCCCACCCTGTAAAAATAAGACGCCCTGGTAGAGCAAGGAGCAAGATCGATCCTAACGAAATCGATGAAAAAGATCCTGCAAAGAGAGCTGCATGGCCAGAGAGCTGAGAGTACCCAGTGCAGTTAAATTTCATGTTAGCTGCAAATGCAAAGCAATGGGCGAATGTTGCCAAAGAGAAAAATCCATGTGCTTGCTGGACGTGTTTGGAATAGAGACTGATTTGTGCCTTGGAATTTCACTTGAACGAGACCAATTAGCAAGGGATTGAGAAAGGCGAAGACAGCATGGCATGGTGTTGAAAAATAAACCCTTGCAAACTCTGCTCAACATAGTAGCATCATCAAAATGTTTCTTTCTTTTATGAATTCTTTTGGAGGATTTGCCAAGTCTTCCAAATGGATAGCCAGAGTCCCACTGCGTCTCAATGTATTATGCCTCTTCAATTCTCCAAGATTGCAAATGATGTTCGGCGACCAAGTGTGGATGTAATCTTGATAAATTTGCTTACGTCTTGCTTACTTTTATGCTTTGTTGGTTTGACGTAAATACCATTTTTTTTTTCGTAGAAAATTTCAAAACTTGGCACTTTCGTTCTCACTTTTCTGTTTCGGTTTGGCATTACTAAGATAGTAATCATAATTGAAATGCCAATATTATGTCAAGACACGTTATGGTCCAATTTGTTTTGGGCTGACTACGAAAGAAACTCATCAACACTCAAGGAGGTATTTTGAATGTTAATGTCATTAAAATGGTCCAAACCATCCAGGCGGAGAGAGAAGCTGCTCGCCGAATGATTAGTAGCACGTTACAAAAGAGAAATTTTATAATATTTAAAAAATAATTAATAATATGTACAGTAATTATTTTATGGATTCACTTTGAGGAGAGAGATAGACACATAAAAAAAAATATCTTGATCTATAAAAAAATGATATAAAGATTTGAGTATTATAAAATTTCTCAATTACAAAAAATCTAAAAGAGTGGAGTTTTTGCTATTTTTATATTACGCATACTTGTAGAATACTATTTATTTAATCGTATTTTTGTGATTTTAAGTTAGTGGTATTTTTATTATTTTAAGTATTTTTTCAAATATTTATTCTACCTATAACACTGTTCACCTCTTTGTTAATGTACATTAAATGACTTTTTTTTTAGTAATTTTGAGGTTTTTTTAAAGCATTTTATACATAAAGTTTTACTCGTGTTTTTCTTTCATCTCTCATTTTTTTTAACAGCTTTTATTTCAATTTATAATTTTATTTGTATCGTAATTTGATCCCTAACTATTAAGAGGAGAGAGAAACAAAAAGAGAGGAGAGAGGAGAGAAAGATCTCGTATATGAATTTTTAGTATATTGTTATTTGCTATTTAAAAAAAGTGACATAATTTATATAAAAAATTCTTTTCATTTTTAAATGATTGTGGCATGGTTATATATATATATATATTAATGAATTTTTAGAATATGATTATTTGCTTTTAAGATTTTTTTTTGATATAATTTATATAAATGAATTCTTTGAATTTTTAAATGATAGAAGCATGATTATATATATATAATCTAAAGATTAAAAGTATCTTTTTAGATAATTTGTCTCATATTTTTTTGACAAAAAAATTATAAGAAAAGTTTTTAGTTAAGAATCAATGGATTTTTGAAATTTCTTACAAGCTTTTAGTTAAAAAATCGGATATAGAAAAATAAATCATGTTCTTTTTAGCAAAAAAAATATAAAAAAATAACGAATAATTAGTTGGTTAAACACATAATTAAAAAAACAATATTTTTTTTTAATTTGATATATTTTAATAGACTCATAACATAACACGTACTATCAAATTAAAATAAATTTTATATATTTCGTTCTATTTGTAACGTAACTCGGGTAAAATACTAGTTATATTCTAATTTTCATGACAGCAGACCTAAGCAATGGGATTGAAGTCAGCGTTCACAAATATTGGGACAGATATGGAAAAAAACATCAGAAAGGGTAAACTTCACTTTTTTCTATATAGATGTGACTATCTAGTTTTGAAAAATGAATGAATGAATTATTCTTCTTTCAAAAATTAATTATTTAATTCTTATATTTTTTAACTTTATTAATTTTATTGTAATTTAATCATTTTTATTCATTTTTTTAGTTTTAAGAATATAAAAAGATGAGTAAAACGTATGGAAGGATTAATGAGAACAGATAAAAAATTTTAAAAATAAAATAATCTTGAAATAAACATAGTCAACTAATTAAAAAATTAAAAAATTAAAAATTGAAATTAAAGAAGCTAATTAATCTGTTTTTAAAAAATAAAGAGACTAGTTTGTAATTTACTCTTTTAGATGTTCATCACTATTACCTTTCTACCCTTATGGTTTAAAATTTCTTGATATTATCATCCTTCTTTTCCAAAGGTTGATTAAAATAAGATCAAATAAAATTCTAATGTGATCTCTAACCGTTACATGGTTTTAATTTTTTTTTTTTTTCAAGTGTTTTTGTGAGATACGTATATCATATATGATGATTTGAAAGGAAAAAACAAAGGAAACGTGAGGAAAAAAATAAAAAAAACATGAACAATAAAATTTATATTAGTTATTTAATAATAAAGGGTAAAAAAAAATGGTAAGAGTAAAAAAAAAAATTAAACTACAAAGACAAAAATGGAACACTAATGAATCTAAGAGAACGAAATTTTAGTTTATAAAAAAATACACACATATACATAAAGCATTCTTTTTAAAAAAGACACAAATAAAAACAAACAAGTTCATTTGCTTGATTTTTATTGACTACGACAATTACAATGCATTGTTATTGAAACACTGACACACCCACTGAACTCATCTAAGTCCATAACATCCAGTATTAGGACCAGAAATTAGCCGGCATGGGCTTTCCGTGTTTTGGGTCCTTTTGGACTTGTAACTTTCATTTCCCGAATTAGTCGGGCCACAAACTCGATTTCATTTACCGTTTCATTTTCTGCAAACTGCACCCATTCTTTCTTTAGAATTGGAAATTACAGATTTGAGCTCAAAAACCCTACTGCTCATTTCTTAACATAATCAACACAGCCAGATTTCTCTTCGCTTTGAAGGTAAACCTCAATCTCAAGCACTTGCTTTTTTTTCTATCTTGATTACATGTTTTACTTTCTAGAGGTCTCTTTTTTCAATAATGCTTATTATGTGAAAAGTCTGTTTCTTTCTACAGTGTTGTAGTTGAAGTTGGTGAGTTGAGATATGGAGCCTGATTTCTTTTGGGGTTTTAATTGTCTGATTTATCTGGTGGATTTTGTTGAATTTCTGATTTTGAACTTTAATAACTCAAGTCGTGGTGAGCTTCATGGTGCTACCGTTTTGTAAATTTTGGCAATGTTTTATTTTCATATGATTCTATATAAACTCTAATATGTTAAAATTCTTAAGAGTTAACTGTTGTGGCGTGTGGAGTTTTTGTGTGCTGTGTGATTCAACTGCTTGGAGTTAAAGAATTTATTAACTTGTTCGTTAGCTTGAAGAAACTATTGTGGCCGTAAAGGAACTTTTTAAAACAAATATGTAGGTAGCTTAAACTATAGAGAACTCACTGGTATGCGCACTGTGATCTTCTTTGATTTGGAAAATGTTCTTATGGCCTTTGTTTTTGTGTTTCAGAGATTGAAACCGTATCATATATGCAAACTTGGTAAGGGTTTGATTGCGAATCAAGCGATGGCATCGCTAATCAAAGCTCCTCCCACAATGTCGACTATTAATGTTCCCCAAGTCCATCTCAGGAAACTGAAATTGCTAAGCAACTCAAACATGCATAATGATCTCAGGTTTCCTAGAATTCGTGTTAATCATTCCCCTGTTTGCTGCACCAAATTGACTCCATGGGAACCTTCACCTGTCACATATGCTCCTACTGTTGATGATACTGCTGGTAACTTATTGAAGAAAACTAGCAACATATTTGAAACTTTGAAGTCTGAAGACACAGCTGAAGCATCAGCAACCAACAGTGAAGAGCTTACAGATAGAAGGAATTCATTGGTGCAATTTCAGTTTCTTAAATGGCCGATGTGGCTTCTGGGCCCTTCTCTTCTTCTGACTACAGGAATGGTACCAACATTATGGCTGCCTCTATCTTCCATATTCCTTGGTCCCAATATAGCCAGTCTGCTTTCCTTGATTGGACTGGATTGTATCTTCAATCTTGGTGCTACCCTTTTTCTTCTAATGGCTGATTCTTGTTCCCGGCCCAAAAACCAGGCACAAACCTGCAATAGCAAGCCTCCGTTGAGTTACAAATTCTGGAACATGGTTGCATCTGTTTCTGGTTTTGTGATTCCCTTGATGATGTTATTGGGATCCCAAAAAGGCTTCCTCCAACCCCAGCTGCCTTTCATCCCATTTGCAGTTCTATTGGGTCCTTACTTGCTACTTTTATCTGTACAGATTCTGACTGAGTTACTGACCTGGCACTGGCAGTCTCCAGTATGGTTGGTAACCCCAGTTGTGTATGAGTCTTATCGGGTGTTACAGCTGATGAGGGGATTGAAGCTTGGGGCTGAGCTCAGTGCTCCAGCATGGATGTTGCATATGATTAGGGGGCTGGTATGTTGGTGGATTTTAATCCTCGGTATTCAGCTCATGAGTGTTGCTTGGTTTGCTGGTTTCGCTGCTCGATCTCAGCAGCCACGGTCCTCTGCTTCTTCTGGTGGTTAAGAATTATTCTCTGTTCCCGATGACTCCATTAAGAGTTGTAGCTTCGAATATGGATTTGGGAGTATATATGATCAAAATTCTTGATATAATCACACCATTTTCTTTTCCGTTCACTGTAAATTTGTGTTCCTATCTGTAGTGAGTGATGTACATTTACATAAACAGGTTATGCACCATAGTAACGCATGTAAACTTAGATACCATAGGCAAGTTTTGAGCTCCTAGCTCTGGGTGCTAACATGGGCAGCTAATTTTATACGCAGTTCTTTGCTAAATATGTGATTAAATGAGTTGTAAGAGGTCAATCATCCAGAACTAAATCAACACAGGGGACACTTGTCATTTTTAAGTTGGTGAGAATGCAGGTGTCAAGAATTCTGGATGAAGGAAAACCTTTATTACTGTGGGTTATGATCACTCACTGTCTAGATGCTTGAAATGATTAGTAATTATTGATATTGACATAGATAGGGAGATTTGGAGTCATGGACTTGGCCACTTGGGACAACCAAGTTCAGCAGTAAATAGAAATTCCAGATATTGACATGGGGAGGAATCGGAGCAGTGAGCTTGGGATGGGAGTCTGGGACAAGAATTGTTCAGCAGGCCATTGTTTCCACTTCTCTCTCAAACCCAAGATACCCCAATAGTTCTTGGTATTCATTCCATGTTGACGTGTGCACTGTGGATGAAAACATTTCTGGCCAGCTACTAGATGCTCCCACCTAGTTTTTGCTCAAGCCCAAGTTTCTAGGATGCTTATGCCTATTGGCATTATCCCATTAAGCCAGATTGCTCCATTCTGCATCACTAAGACGATAACTAGGACTATCATCGGGTGGAGTAACTTTTACGAATTGGTCTTCTTCTTCCAAGGGTATAGCTGTATTTTCCTCCTATAGGTTGGAGTTTTAAGTAATTTTAGTTTGATTTTTCTACTTGACAAGATTTTGAGTCAAATTTGGTCTTAACATGCGTCTTGAGCATCAACAATGTCATGACTCAAGATTCCTATTTTTCTCTTATAGGGAAGGTTTGCGAAAAAGGAAATGCATTACATTATCTTGATTTCCTACATCCCATTCTGATTTGGTTTGAGAATTAACTCAAATTTATAAAACTATCGTACAAGGCTCGAATATATGCGTGTGGGTCCCACATATTTGCAGGATTGATATGCTTATTTTTATATCTTTGCACTCTTCGTTACTCAAATTTGACTGTCATCCCTGTGCAATGATTCTCAATTTTTTTTTTTTCAATTTTAATGATTCTTTTTTTATTTGTCACTGGGCTGATAGAGATGATTTTCACCTTCGTATTATTGTCTTAGCAGTGTGACTTTGTTATTCAATTAACCACTGTGTCGTGTGAATTTGTTCAATTGATCCAATAATTTATTTCTATCAAGTTTCAATATTAACAATGAATTTGTTCAAAATTAGTTATTGATTTAATTGAGTAAATTAAGATAATATGAGGATTAATTAAACGAAATCAAGGGATATAAAGATTGATTCACCAGATTAAAAATACAAAAGTAAAAATGATATGTTTTTTATTTCAGAATGCTAAAGAATTATTATTGATGAATGAATGAACTCAGAATCACATGCTGCAATAAAGAGAGAAAACATCAAAGAAAACCTACTCAAAATATAAAAATAAAGCTAATTTGCCAAGGCAATGGGAGCATATTGGCATTCCTTTTAGTATGATTGCAATTGAAGGAAATAAAGTGAGCAGAAATAGATTTAGTGTTCTGAGTAAGATTTGGCTTGACCCAGCATCATCTCCATTTGATTGCCAACACAAACACAGAAGCATCTGATTCAAGCAACACTCTGCTATACCCCATTTTTTGAGGTAAAGAGACACCATGCCTTGCCGCCAAAGCTTTTGCAGTCTCTGGAGGATTGACCCAAGAGAATTTTTGGTAGTCGCGCCGAAACCAATGCCTTCTGCATTTAGAGCAGAGTCTGTGTTGATCTTGAAAGTATCTTCGTTGGGAGCTTCCCATTTGATAGTTACACCATTAGTATGAATTGTAGGCCCTCTAGGATGGTCCATATTCTCCTTCTTGTAACCTGCTAAAAGGTGAAAATGAATAATTAATACAAACGAATGGATAAATTTAAAGTTTTTGTATTTTCTTTGATATAAAAATAAATACAACCAACCAATTCAAAAGTTTAACTTCAATAGAAATAGTTTTAATCGATTAAATAAGTGTTTTTAATTTAAATATTTATATTTACAGAAAACATTTTAAATAATTATAACTGTTTTGTGCAACTCATAAAAAAAAAAAAACAGAAGAAGATTAGTATGAGTTTTTTATATTAAGGTATTTTGAGGACAAAAAAAGAACACAATTAGAATATCCTAGATATCTTGGATTCTCAACACAGTATATTTTGGCATTTATATTTACAGATCGAAAAAAAAAAAGTTTATAACATTTGCTGCCAAGCTTAGAATATTTCTCCAAGTCGGTTGCTTCCATTTACCTCCAAGCTTAGAATATTTTTACAAGTAGGTTGCTTGGACATAGGTGTCCCACCATCCTCATCTGAATCGGGGTCGTACAGGGGCGGATGAGCTTCTTTAATATTGCACCAAACTTTTTCCTGCAAATAAAATAAATCTTTTTTCGCTAGGCTAGCTTAAACCACCTACGTACACTAATGAATCATTAATAATTTAAACTAACAGTTAAAATTAAGCCTTAAAAAAAAAAAATCCTTTTTCGACTATTAGCAATAGGCATTTTGAATCTTTTAAAATAGTTTAATTAAAAGGCCAAGAGATCAAGACCATGAGTGAGTTTTATAAATAACTAATTAAATTATAATTATTGAAACAAACAAGATATAATTTAACATTTTAAAATAGCTAAGATATAAGCCGATATGAACATTTTTTATTATATAAAAATTAGACTCCATGTAACAATAACCTAACAAATTATAAAATTTAAACACCTTTTGGTGTTACAATAATTGATTCATCTTGAAGTGTTTTAGAATTAAAAAATATATCAAATTAGTATTTTTCAAAGAAAAATCAGTTACTTGCTTTTCGTTGCCAAACACTCACAAACTATAAACGAGTAAATTATAAATTAGTTATTCTTATTTTAAGAATTGAATTGATTAGTTGTCTTCATTTTTACAATTAATTTTTTTTTATGTTATGTTTTTTTTTAATAATTTTTTTTTGTTAGATTAGTGATGAAGTGTCATATTGCAGTATTTTTTTCTTCAAATTAATCTTCTTTTAATGCACTATTTCTCCTCTTCATTCATTTTCAACTATCAAATAATTTGAAGAAATTGAGAGAAAAATCATTATGATGGCTGAGGAGAGAGGAAAAATTGAATAAAAGATAGAAATAAAGCATAAAAAAGATAATTTCGAAACAAATAGAATACATCATTATTAACATAGCAAAAAATTGATAAAAATATTAAGTTATTGATATAATTAAAATATAAAAAATTAAATAATTAGTTTTTGGAATGAAAGAAATAATATATAATTTACTCATCTAAAACCAACGGGAAAAAGAAAAAAGAAACACCGACATGACATCACAGTCCTCCGGAAGGAACGTTTTACTATAGTATTTCTACTTCCTTTCTACGAACTCTCTCTCTCGCTCTCGTTTGTTCTTGCTCTCTCTCCCACGAAAAAACCAGACTAACCCTTACCTCCGTCACGGTAAACAAACTCTCTCTCACCGGGAACCACCTCAAGCTTCTATCTCCGGTGACTCTCTCGCCGATCCCATCAGAATGAGTACCGGCGAACTTCTCAGCATCGAGCCTCAAGAGCTTCAATTCCCTTGTACGTCCGGTTTTGTAAATAAATTATAATTCTCTCCTTTTCTCTAAAGATCTTTTTTTTTTTTTTGCTTTTGATGTTTTTTTTAATGATTTTTGTAGTTGAATTAAGGAAGCAGATCTCGTGTTCTCTGCAGTTGTTAAATAAGAGTGACAATTATGTTGCTTTTAAGGTAATTAATCAATCACTCCCAAATTTAGTCAATTTTTTGCTTTTTTTTTTCATTTTTTATAACTGGTTTGGCCAATAAATTTGATTTGCGTCTATAATTATTATAGGTTAAGACAACAAATCCAAGGAAGTATTGTGTTAGGCCTAACACAGGAGTTGTTTTACCGAGGTCTACTTGTGATGTTATAGGTTTCTCTCTTTCTCTCTTCAGTCGCCGTACTTTGATTATTATTAACTTTAATAGTTATATCTTGCTTAATCTGTGTTTATTTAATGACGGGCTTTTGTTTATGTTAGTTACAATGCAAGCACAAAAGGAGATGCCACCTGATATGCAATGCAAGGACAAGTTTTTACTTCAGAGTGTAATTACAAGTCCTGGAGCTACAGCTAAGGATATTACTCCAGAGATGGTAATTATATATATAGCGAATATTTTCTGTTTTGGGGTTTTAATTGACTTAGTTTTATGGGTTATGCAAGTGGGTTTTAATGTATTGTGTTTTGCAGTTTAACAAGGAGGCGGGCCATGAAGTTGAAGAGTGCAAATTGAGGGTTGTTTATATTGCACCACCTAGACCACCGTCACCGGTGCGTGAAGAATCAGAGGAAGGTTCGTCCCCTAGAGCTTCTGTGTCAGATAATGGGAATTTTAGTCCTTCTGAACAGACAGCTGTGAGTGTCTGATGCCCTGCTCTTTGAATTGAATTATGGTTGGGTTTAGTCTTCATGTTTTCCCTTTTCAGTTTAATAGATCGTTTCTCTACTATGTGAATCTTTTTTGTAGGTTTCAAGGTCTTATTTCCAGAGACCAGAGCCTGAAGATAACTCATCTGAGGTATGTCATTCTTTTTCTTCCGTTAATAAATTTTGAAGCCCTAATTGTTGGAAAAACTAAGTAATGACGAATGGTTGAACATGCTAAATGGGTGATTCATGGTTTCATTTGCTTATCTAGTACAGTTAGACTAATAAGGTCGATTTTCTTATTTTTCTGTTTAACGAGTGTCCTTATATCTAAACAAAAAAGTTTCCTTTGTTTATGAAGCAGCTATTTTTGTCTGCACTCCTACCCCTTAAGTGTCTTAATAATCATTTGTTTCCTACTTAATCCCACTTCTTGGATTTTCTTTGTTTTGTTTTATAATTGTATCAACTATCAAGTATCTCTTGACTGGGAATAAATCTGTGTTAGGATGGAAACGTGTTGCTGGCATTAGAAGGGGACTCTACTCCCTTTTTATACGAGGAAGAAAATCCTCCTATTTTGGTTGATTGGTGCATCCCTATGATTGAGGGAGTCACTCAGATTCCCCATCTATCCTGTAGTTCGAACCAGTTTTGATGACGAGGTAGTCCTGCCTCTCATTAGATTCAGAAAACACCACATTAGATTTTCGGCCAAACCAGTTCAAACTTTTTTAACAATTAGGCAGTCCTGCATCACATTAGATTCTTAAACAACATGCCATCAAATGTTCAGCCAAGCTGTATATGAAAGCCAACTTCTCAGCTGCTTTTGTCCCCCATTCATTGACAATTGTTACTAGGATTTGGCCACTATTCTTGACTGTTTGATGCAACCCCTGGATGATTTTGGTGAGTCTGCACCCTTAAAATTCACCACATTATGGGATATGTGAGAGAGACACGCTCTTCTTGGGTGTTATTTCAGCATTACATGCACTGAAAACAAAATTCTATAGGAAGTAATCATGGTTTGTAAGTTTGCTTCTCGGACATAATAGGCTTTAGAGATTCTTGTTAAGATATTTGATTGGGTGACTTGGTTATGTGCTTGAAGTGAAAATTGTGATTTCAGGCAAGGGCTCTTATTTCCAAGCTGACCGAGGAGAGAAATTCTGCTATTCAGCAAAATAAGCAACTTCAGCAAGAACTGGTAAGGCACTCAGCATGTGAATATATGTAAGCTTGTGTGCTGAAATGCTTTTAGAACAACCCTTTAGTTTTGGAACAGCTGTCACTGCAAGAAATATTAGGTGCCAAGAAAAAATTATAGTATAAGAAATCCATATTCTTAGATGAATGAAGTAGGGGAAGATAATAGGAAACATATCCGGCAAATGCTACAAATTATACAATAATTTTGCATCAATAAATAGTTTCATGACCATTATCGCTTCACTTGATTACCTGAACTGCTATTTGCTAGTTAAGTTTTTTTTAAAGGAGATGGTGAATATAGTGTTTAATTACGCCTGGCCATCAGTGCCAATAAATTGAGTACATGTGTATAAATGTGTTTTTTAAGCGGTAATGCTTGATCCTGTTGCTTTTAATGCACTTTTCTCTTCATGTTAACCATTTTTATACTTTGTGGTACCTCTTTTCATTTCTTCTATCTCACAGTTGTGGAAATATCTGCATAATCAAAGGCATTTCCTTCTATCTCACATTCAACTTTGAGATGTTGTAATTTCCTGTTTATCATCATTATATCTACAACGCAACCCCTCCCCCCATCCAGAAATGAAAAACCTAAAACAAAACACAATTACTATCTATAGTTTTGTGTTCTAGAAAATGGATTACTATGCAGTTATCATTAATAGCAGTATCAGCAGAGCCAGTTTTGAAAATGATGTGCACAATTGTATGCAGGAGCTGTTGAGGCATCATTCTAGCAAAGGTCGAGGAGGTATCCCTTTCATGTACATCATTCTTGTTGCCTTGGTAGGCATCATTCTGGGGTACCTCTTGAAAACAACATGACGAATCAGCCTGTCAATCCTTCTGTCTCACATCCCTAGCGAAACAGTTGAAATTTTGAGTACTTAAAGACATCAGATGTGTGACTGATTGGATGCAACTATTTTTATTGTACTGGTCTGTATCAACCCTAGGGAAACATGTCAAATGTGTGACTGGTAAGAGGGAACTGCTGTGCCTTTTATTACCCTTACCAGAAATTGACATTTAAGGAACTGAGGGTTATGTAATTGTCAATTAGATTGCTCAATTGTGGGACCAGTTTATGCGAGTCTAGAGGAACCTATTGGGCATCTCTCTCTCTCTCTCTCTCTCTCTCTCTCTCTCTCTCATGCCACCATCCCCAGTGCATGAAGGAAACAAGGCATTAGAGGTTAAATGTTTGTTTTTCTACAAGAGTAAAGACGAGATAATCTTGATCTTGGACTTTTCAGACTGCTTCAAAAAGGATTAATCTGAGTCGGACGCCAACCAATGCGTGGTGCCGGTACTGATAATGATGCCTTGCTAACAATCAGATCCATGGACGCACTGCCTTGTGATCTCAGCGATAGCTAGTCTGGCTGCAGCCTAAATGTAAGAGCTCTGAGAGCAATTAAAGCTGAATGGAGCTGTTGTTTCCTCAGTGCCGTTATTCCTAAAAAGGTAGAAATTGTCCAGAAAGAAATGAAGTTGGGTTTGGAGTTCTGAACTTGAATATCAAATTGATTCTTACTAATTTAATTTGTAAAATAGATTTTTTTTTGGTTCATTATGTATTATGCATAAGCTCGTTTGAAACATGCATAAAGATTTTAAAATAACCATCTACATACTGTAATTTATACGACAGTTTGGAATCATAAATTATAGTTGGAGAAAAATTTACTAAGAGAGTTGGCAGAGATTTCATACGGTTTCAGTTAAACAGTGATACAATAAAAAAACTGAAATAGGCATCGAAATTTGACCGATATATGGAAGAGCTTCCCGCAAAATATTGGCAAAATGTGAGAGATCTAAAACTGTTACGTGCACTGGAAATTTCAGTTTACTCGAACACAGCTTCGCTACCTTAGCATCAAGGATCACCAGTCACAACCTATCATCGAAACATCTGCAATTGTGCAACCATTACAATTCCATCTTTTGCCGTCATCTTAGCTTTGAAATCAGTTTATCGTTGCTTGTCTCTGACAGAGAAATTGGGGTTCAGTGACATTTCAATCTCTTCAAGAGAGCGCCCTTTAGTTTCAACTATGTAATATTTGGCATACATTGCTGCTAACAAGGACACACTACCAAAGCCAGTGTAAACAGGTGCAACTCCAAAAATCTCCACCAAGTCAAGAAACAATAAACCCACTAAGAAGTTGCAAACCTGAAAGAAGATTCATCAAATGTCCACGGTGAATTCACAAGGAGCATCGTGAAGCAGAAATTATAGGACATGGAAGCACTTAAAAGATCAAGATATACAAGAATGGAAACAGCAATGGAGCTACATCTTTTCCATTTCCCTTCCAATTCCAATTAGAAACATGGGAGAAGGCAACACATAAATGCTCGATATTTGACACAAATATCAACAAGACTTGGCAAAACTCTTTTTTCGTTCTCTGGAGAATAAATTATGAAAAAATGACCAGGTACCTACCCAATGAACAGAAAAACTGAACCCCATAATCTTCGCACGCATCTTGGTGTTGCTGAGTTCTGGTATTATAAGACCGGTTACTGGGCCAGCTCCAATGGCAAATGTGAAAACGTACCTATATGCAAGAACCAAAAGCGCTATCAACGAAGATCTCATTAATGAATAATACTCCTACATTCCAGATATGTAGGAAAGGATTTTGGACACCATAACAACACCCTTGCGTCTAGGAATACCAGGAAGGTGCTATATGTCATACTTTCAAATAGTGGCAATGCAATTCATTCCTAACTTCTGTGAGAAAAGGGCAGTACGAGTTCAGAAGCAATCAATAGAAGATTCTTTTCAAGTTTTCGCTCACAGTTGCAAAAATCCACCTAGAAGTGAATGCAGCAAACCCTGAAGGAAGTTATGTTCTGTATGATAATAGATTCACTTGGGATGTCTGTTCAAAGGGAATGTAAGTACATATTCTATGCATACATGTTTACATATGCACATCCTTACTATATGATGCTATGAAGCAAAACATCTAGAACAACTGCAGATCCAAAAAAAGATAGTTCATGTACTGGAAAAAAAGTAGAATGTTCTGCATACTTCTATCCATGGATAAGCTGACCATGACACGACCTTATCAATATAACATTCACTTATTGACAGATTGATAGTGATGCAAGGCAATATAGGGCTGTTCAGCATAGCTATAGGTCTCAAAGTATAGTTCAACTGTAGCTCAGCTACCTTGCTCGGGTTTCTTCTGGATCATAAAATCATATTGAACGGGTAAGCGAACAAAATGACAGGTTTCAAATATGCAGTGGGTTTTTGTAGCTTCATAAAGGGTATAGAATAACGAGCTTTTGAAATAAGAAAATCACAACAAAAGTCACACTGAATAACTATCAACCAGGTGGAATCTTTTTTCTCTCATCTAGTCATATCTGTAATCCACAAAGTGCCGGTCCTTAATTCCTACCAATCTAGCATTGCTGGTCATAGGTTGTGCAAGTTCACTTTAGTGCATGGACTTCATATGCCAAACTTATTAACTTAGGACATGCTAAATAAACCAAACAAAGGCTACCTTCAAACATCTCTATTTATCTATGTATTAAAGAAAAAGAAAAAAAAAGGGGGAAGCTCCAATTAATTGGGCACTACTAAGTACTAACTCCAATGGCTTTCCAAACACACAACCTGTTGACCAACAAGGTGAGACTGCTAAACAAGGAGAAGCAGCGAAAGTAAACAGCGAGGAAGATCTCTATGTTGCTACCTCCAAAGAACTACTTATTTTCTCCTCTTTTCTCTTTCTAATTCAACTCAACTAAGCCAAACTCAAAATAATTGGGGTCAGTTACATGGAACCATTTCTCCTTGCAATCCTATCACGTGCTTAACCTTTTCCTTAACTCTTCATAGATTTTAAAATTATGCAGGAAAAGTTGCTTACATCAGAGTTCCTAGTATTGACAAGTTGCCACTGAGTTCTTCATCTACTGGAAAACTGATAGCACAAGCAATAAGAAACATTGAAACTGCCTGCATACAGAAAAAGAATTCATAACTTAGATAATCCATGCTGGTATCTTTGTTTTGTAAGTTTTGATTGTAGTTGGTATATCAATGGATCAACAAACTAATAATACCCTAATATAGCTGAAAAATCTCAAAAGAAGACAAAGAAACAATGATATGATGATGTTCTTTTTTCCAGTCACTAGCTTTTGTACAGGCATAAATCAGTCACACTCACCATTCCCAAGTAACTGCCAATCAGGAGCTTTTGTCTTCCTTCCTTATCAATTAGGTATACAGCACAAAGTGCACCTGAAGTGACCACCAGCTTGCAAGCTTAAGATTCACACATGAAACATGTCTCAAGATACAAAAGACAGATAGCTTTAGATTTGAAACCTGCAAAGTTGGTAAGTCCAACAAATATGCTTGCTAAACTGCCACTTGTTATACCAACATCTTTAAAAGTCAACGATGAAAAATAAAGGACTCCATTTATACCAGCAAACTGTTGTAGCGCAAAAAGTGCACCTCCAATAAATGCAACTGCAACAATACAACTACATCAATGTTTGCATACTGAGTTTTGTGAGTCACAGACTCACAATCGAAATATACAATGATCTAGCTACTTAATAAGGGGGAAGAGAGAATGCATGAAATAAAATTTTGTTAAAATATTTCTAGAAAAAGTATATCACACACTATGTAACACTAGCACAGCAAGTCTTATGACCCATATTTAAATATAACTAAATGAGATGCCCAAGAACAACCTTCATAGTCATACAACCTCTAGAATGTGGTTCCTCCAGGAGTTCCAACCATCTACTACCCACATCACTGCCATCGTTCTTGATGACTGATTGGAAAGCTTGGATTGCCGTTTCAACTTCAGACGATCCCCAAAGATTACGAATAACTGTTTTAGCATCGTCTAGCTTCCCTACCTAAAAAAAAAAAAAAAAAAAAAAATTAGAAGAGCTTCAGGAATGAAATGCCAAGAAGCAACATTTAAAGATGTTTTCAGAGAAAAACAAGGGACTCCTACTTTACATAGCCAGCGGGGGCTTTCCACAGCAAACTGCATACCCAGTGCAAGAATAAATCCAGGAGCACTTGCAATGTATAGTATTGTCCTCCACCTGAAAAGAGATATTTTGTTAGCTAGAAGGATCAAAGCCTCTTCCATATCAAGTAAAAGAATAATTATGTCTCCTTTTAAAATGTACGAGACAAGCAGATGCCTATGGATGCAGGTTAAGAAGCAAACTGCAGATGCTAAATCATGCAAAACTGAGTTCCATTGGCCTCCAACTTAATATCATAGAACTTTCTCAATTCTAAAGAATGCCATCTGCTAAAAGAAAAACTGCATGTGCAACTAAGAGAGATAGCAACCAGATACATGTAGATCATCAATCAAACACAGTCCAGGCACCGACAAGGACCAGAAAGGAAAAGAAACTCACCAGTGTGGATCAGTTTCAGATGGAATATCTAGGAACAATGATGCAATGATTCCCAGACATGTCCCAATTTGACACAAGGTTCCCAACGAACCTCTGTATTTTGTTGGCGCAACCTATAACATATGTAATTAGGAGTTAGATGAGTAAAAAGGATTGCAAGTTATTGTCAACGTCAACAACATATCTTGTTGCCACATCCTACAAACCATAAACTAAAATTTCGATATATTACAACCTTCGATGAATAAAAAAATTTGAAAAAACACTGTTCTCATATTATCAAGATTGGATGAACAGAAAAATCCCAGGTATTTCCTCTCCCTTCCTTGACACCTCTGAATTGACCAACTCTTATAAAAAATAAAAAAAAATACTAAGAGGTTTGAACTTTGAACAAATAAAATCAGTAAATGTAGCGTATTGAAAGTGAAGTACCTCTGAAATATAGATTGGAACAAGAACCGTGTTCACACCAATCCCAAGGCCCACAAGAAATCTTCCCCAAAGTATTTCATCCAAGGAGTGCGCTTGCGCACTGTCACAACATGCAAAGTGTCAAAGATTAGACTAAGTTTAGAATAATGATCAGAGAAAAGCTACAATCTTCGAGCATAACCAAATCTACAAATGAAAAAATCCATTTGCACATACGAATTATAACCTTCTAAGTGCACCAAGAATTAATGGTACTGCGTCAAGCTGAAATGTGCGACGACATCCGAGTTTATCAACCAATGAACCTGATGCTAAGCTTCCAAGAAATGCACCAGCAATAAATATGCTAACCACAAGTCCCTCAAGAATTGAGCTTCCTTCAAAACCCAGCTCTTTTGCGACAGAAACAATAGGACCATTCATTACCCTGCGTATAATCAGCAATAATCAAGACAGTTGACCGATCATACACACAGCGAATTATTGTAAAAAAAAAAAAAAAAGAAGCCTTAAGACATTATTTGGTGCATTTAATTAGACCGGAACAATTTCATTTGTATTGGTGTTTGGTGTGCACATTGGATAAAATTATTGTTCTCAATCATATCCAATCCAGTCCTGTTTTGTCATATCTAGTTACATCTTCACTCAGCTCTTAATCAACAAGCAGCTGGACAAGACCATTTAGTGCAAGGAAATGAAGGACGTGATGGGACAAGCCACTTTCATTGCTACTACTTTGGTGTGCAAATGGACAGAACTGTCCATCATCTTATCTGCAATCCCATCATCAACATGATCAATCATATAATGCAAAATATCATAAATGAAAAAAAGAGAGGGACACAAACCCTATATGATAACCAAATAGGAAATTTGCAATTGAAGCAATCAAGACGTGAGGAAAAGCAGGGAGCCATCCTAAATCAGAACTACTTGGGTTTTGATCAGTCTTTGGCTCGGGAAGCTGCTGCTGCTGCTTTGTTGCTGAAACTTTAAAGTTTAAAGGCCGATATGCGAATCTGAAATGAAAAGAATTTTGTTTCGGGTTTCTTGTAGAAGTGAGAAAGGAAAGAACCGGAGGAACCGTTTTAGGAAGTACTGTAGTGACCCACATGGAAGAAACCGTTTTCTATTTCTCTCGTTTTTGGTGACTCCTCTTGTTTTCAGAAAAAGTTTATCTTTTTCTAATTTATGTAGCTCTTTTTGTGATAAAAGTTGAAATAAGTGCCAGATTTGTCGCTTTCAAGGTAATAGTTCGATATGGATGATGTCATTTATCATAAAATATCTTTTATAACATTAGATTTTCAATAAGATCATGGTCGTTGAACATAGTCAACCATTACCTACTCGATATCATTTGAAAAATACATTTAGGAATACCAATTTTGATTTTCATGATAGACATTTCGTAATGAATATGGAAATGTATTTGGCATTAAATATTTTGGAACGAGTAGTGCCATTATTCATTTAACATTAAGCTTAAATTCCATTCATTTTTTAATAAAGCCATTTTTAATTCTAAAGAATGCCATCAGCAAAAAAAGAAAAAAAAAAAGCAAAACTGGATGAACAATTAATTTAGTGTTATGAAATAATGAATGTCCATCATCATGTTCATCCACTTTTCATATCCCCACTACTCATAATTCTTAATATGATTCAATTCATTATTCAATATGAGAAATTGAAAAGGTGATGCAATTGATTATTCATAGTCCTTCCAATTCTCTCCTCAATTTTAAAGTCTATAAATAGGCTTGATTATTCATTAGTTGGTGTATAAGTTTCTTAGAGAGAATAAGAGAAACTTTGAAGTTCTTATCACTTATATTCACATTATAGTGATTTCATTTTTTTGTCATCCTTTTCTTCAATTTTCTTATTATTTGTATTTATTTTATAACACGTTACCAAGCACGAAGTTTTAACCAATCGAGATAATAGACCATGAGGTATGTATCTACCAAAACACTTAATCAATTGTTTCAATCATTGGATTTCTTTTGCACAAGTGCTCTACCGATTGGATCTAAATTATTATTTAAATCATTAAGAGGTATGTATCTAATTTACTATGTATTTTAAATTTAATGATACATAGAATATACATTTGAAATTTTTAAATAATTTAATATATATTATTTGAAAAGTTTAAATTTTATTATTATATTTATTTTTATTTAAATTTTATTATTATGTTTTGTCTTTATTTCCTAACATTATTATTGTATTTTGCAATATACAATTTTAATGATATCTTATCAACCATCACAAAACTTGATTTTGTGGCCCTTGACATTTTGGGTAAGAATTATTGATCATGAGTGCTTGATGCTAAGTTAATATCATCTACTTTTCATGCCTCAAATATGCTCCTGCGAGTAGCATATCGAGAAAAAGAGTTTAAGAAATATTCGAATCGATTTCATATTTGCTCATGGCTAAATAAAACGAAAAGCTATTGATGAAAAAGAATAAATCTCATCCAATTGGATCTATTCCATTCCCCGAAGTGAATGTGATAATTTATAATAATTTTAGGCATGGACGAAGATGTAGTCATAGTCATGGATGTTGTCAAAATAATTATCATTATAATTATGATGACTATAATATTACATCTTACTACCGAAGTAGATAACTATGAAAAAGAAAAAGAAAAGAATGAAAATAGATAAAGTCAACATTCCGAAGATGAATGTTATAAATATGGTATGAATGGACATTAGTCGTGTACCTGCCGTACACCAAAGCACCTCATCAAGCCTTATAAAAGCTCGTTGAAAAAAAAAAATATATATATATATATATATATAGGCTAATTTTATATATCAAAGTAATAGTAATTGAAATTAATTATTTGTTAGTTTTTCTATTTATAAATAAAATGTTTTATATTTCTTATAATTTATGTTGTATATTGATGGTTACAAATTTATTTTACTATTTATTTATTTGTTTATGTTTATGAGGAATATATTGATTTATTTATTTTCTATTGATTTATTTGATTATTTATTTTATGTTAATATTATATATGATAATATCAATCTAATAGAAAGCTCTAAAAGAGCGACTATATTATTATCTAAAGAGATAGATTTTGAAGGCTCTAGAAGAGCGATTATATCATGACTTGAAGAGATAAATTTTTGAAACTCTAGAAGAGTGAATAAATTATTACTTGAAGAGAAAATGTTTAAAGGCTCTAGAAGAGTCGATATATTATTACTCGAAGTGACTAATTTGAAGGCTCTAGAAGAGCAAATATGTTATTATCCGAAAGGATAAATTTATTATGAATGATATACTATTCTCTTCAAAGTCTTATAGAAATTTATTGAGTTTCAAAGGTACTCATCTGATTTGATATCATATCAAGATAGAAAATATGAATACTTATATGTTATAATCATTATATCGGGTAGAAAATATCTATCAAAAAAATTTATCCGTTTTCTCTTCTAGTGTTTATTACAAACATTGCAATGATTGAAACAAATATTGTAGTAAACCGAAGTTTACTAATTCAAATACTTTTACTATATGACATGACCAGTTGTGTTATTTTGGGTCTTTCATGATGCGAAAAAATTATTTAAAAAATTATATGAATATCTATTGAATAGTCGGAAGATTCTTTAATTTAATCAACTTTCATGTACTCGCATGTTGCCAAGGCAAATTGATGATTAAGCCATCATCAAGTAAAATTGAGATTGAATCTCTAGTATTTTAGAATGTATTCAAGGTGATATATGTGGATCAATTCATCCACCATGTGGACCATTTAAATATTTTATGATTTTGATAAATACGTCCACAAGATGGTCATATATATGCTTATTATCTACTTGAAACTCGACGTTTTCGAGATTGCTAGCAAATAATTTGATTTTGAGCATAATTTTCAAATTATGCTATTAAAACAAGTCACCTTGATAATGCTCGATGAATTTATTTCTCAAGCGTTAAATTATTATTGATTGGCTATTAAAATAAATGTTGAACATCCTGTTGCTCATGTTCATACTCAAAAAGGTTTAGCAAAATCATTTATCAAAAGGCTCCAATTGATAGCTAAACCATTATTTAAAAATAAAACTCCATATTTATGTTTGGGGACATGCAATCTTACATACGGTAACACTTATTCGCATATGACTCATAAGTTATCAAAAATTTTCTCCTTCGAGTTGATATATGGTAATGAGTCAAATATTTTTTATTTAAGAATTTTTGGCATTATAGTATATATCCATATTGCTCCTCCATAACGAAATAAAATGAGCACTTAATGAAGATTGAGAATATATGTTGGATTTGAATCCTCTTCGATCCGTTGATTCATGAACAAGAGGTATTTTTACAACTCGATTTATCGATTGTCATTTTGATGAAACAGTTTTTCCAACATTAGGGGAGAGAATAAGAAAAATAAGTGGTTGACAATGTTAGAAAAAAAGAGATTACATATTGTAGTCTATCTTTATATCAATTTGGTACAAAACAATGTGAACCGAAGTTCACAAGATAATTCGTTTACAAGTTATTATAAACCAAATGTTAGATGTATTCTCATATCCTAAAAGAGTAAATAAAATGCATGTCCTCGTTGAGAATGCTTCTATTAGAATTGATGTCCTAGAAGGACGAGTATATTAATATTATAGCTAACGAATTTAAAGCACGCCCGAAGCGTGGAAGACCGATCGATTCTAAAGATAAAAATCCCTAAAAGAAAAGGGCAAGATGAAAATATTGACAAAACGGTCCAATATATTTCGATCATAGGCTTCCGGAAGAAATCCAAATACTTGAGAAAAAGCAAGAGATTTTGATAAATTATATTAATGCAAGGAGAAAATAGGACCAAAAAGAAACATCTATTGATAAGACTTTTGCATATAATATTGCAATTGATATTATGGATGAGAATAAGGATCCCGAGCGTAAATTATTGAAGAATATCGACATAAAGATGATTGGCCTAAATGAAAAGAGCAATCTAGGCGGAATTATGTTCTCTTATAAAAGAGTAGTTTTTTAAACCCATAGCTAAAACACTCGAAGATGTTAAGCTAGTGGGATACAAATATGTATCTATGAGAAAATGAAATAAGAAATATGAGATTATAAGATATAAAGCAAAACTTTTAACATAAAAGTTTTTGTAAAGAATTGACATTGACTATGAGGAAAGATATTCTTCTATAGTGGATGCAATTGTCTGTTGCTATCTCGTTAACAAAAAAAAATATAAAAAACATTCATATGCATGCATTTAATGAATGTGATCACGGTTATTTGTTCATTTGAAATGAAATAAGTATGAAAGTCCTAGAAGGACTTGACATGCCAAAAACATGTAATACATATTCTCGAGATAAGAATTCAATTAAATTATAGAGATCTCTATTAGGATTATTTTAGTATTTGTTTTATTATTTTGCTTTTTAGAAATTCAATTTATACTTTTTATATTTTATTTTTATATGTGCTATTTATCATTAACCCGTGTGCATGTGATATAATCACTTCAATGATTATTTATTAAAATAAAGTTATAAAAATAACTTTATTTATTCATATGTTTTTATTTGAAAAGGGGTTTGTTGTATATGTTGATAACTTAAATATTATCGAAACTCCCGAAGAGATTCCAAGTGTCATAAGTTACCTAAAAAGAGAATTTGATATGAATATTTTGGAAAAATAAAATATTATCTCGACCTGCAGTTCGAGCACTCAAAAAATGAGATTTTCATTCATCAATCAATTTATATAGAAAAAGCTTCTACAATGATTATATATAAAGATCATTCATTGACTAGCCCAATGGTAGTTCATTCACTTGATATCCAAAAAGACCATTTTTGACCCGGAGAAGATAACGAAGAACTACTTGGTCTTGAAGTACCATATTTTAGTGCTACTTGGTGCATTGATGTATCTTGCTAATAATACTCAACTCGATATAGTCTTTTCTATAAATTTGTTAGCAAGTCATAGTTACGTTTCAATATAGAGACATTGAAATAAAATTAAATGTATACTATGTTATCTTCGAGGAATAATTGATATGGGCTTATATTACTCTAATAAATCAAAGACAATATTAATTGGTTATGCAAATGCAGAGTTATTTATCCGATACACACAAAGCTCGATCACAATCGATTATATATTTACATATGGAGATGCAACTATATCTTGGAGTTATACGAAGCAAACTATAGTTGCCACATCTTCAAATCATGTAGAAATATCAATTCACGAGGCAAGTCGAGAATGTGTTTGTCTAAGATCAACGATCCATCATATCCGAGAGACATTCAATTTATCTATCGGTAAAAGAAGTTCCAATAATATCATCTAAGGATAATGTCGCTTGCATTGTTCTATTGAAGGAAGAATACATTAAAGTGACAATCCGAGTAGATTTGTTCACTAAGGTGTTACCTATCATAACTTTTGAGAAGATGATTCACAAGATTGGAATGCATCATCTTAGAGATCTTAAAGAATGTCTTCAACAGGGGAGACAAAAATGAGAATTAATGTATGCAAGGAATATTGTACTCTTTTTCCTTCACTAGGATTTTTTTCCCACTCGGGTTTTTTCCTAGTAAGGTTTTAACGAGGCATGTTCCTTGTACAATGGACATTCGAGGGGAGTGTTATGAAATAATGAATGTCCATCATCATGTTCATCCACTTTTCATATCCCCACTACTCATGATTCTTAATATGATTAAATTCATCATTCAATATGAGAAATTGAAAGGGTGATGCAATTGATTATTCATAGCCCCTTCCAATTCTCTCTTCAATTTTGAAGCCTATAAATAGGCTTGATATTCATTAGTTGGTGTATAAGTTTCTTAGAGAGAATAAGAGAAACTTTGAAGTTCTTATCACTTATATTTATATTATAATGATTTCATTTTTTTGTCATTCTTTTCTTCAATTCTCTTATTATTTGTATTTATTTTATAACATTTAGGTTTTTTTTTTTTTTTAATTTTTTTTGAGGTAAGGAGAACAAATCCTAAGAAGGTATGTGTTGGGCCTGACCCTGGGTTTACCAAAGTCCGAGCGTGATGCTATAGATCTCCTTCTCTCTATTCAAGTTTTGCGATTCAATTATCCGTATCAATTACCAGAAGAACAAAAAGAAAAAAACCTCCATGAATAATTATCTTGCTCAATATGAATTTATTTATTGATTGGAAATATATTTATATTAGTCACAATGCTTTGAGAGATGCCCTTGACATGCCATGAAAGACGAGTTTTTACTTTCAGGCGTAAGTGTAATTTCGTTGCAAGCCCTGGAGCTACGACTTCAATGCAAAACCAGAAACGGTAATGACAGAATCACTTGTGTGTCCCTTTTTGGGTTCCATGGAGCTCATTTCTTGGATCATGAAATTCGGTTGTCCTTGTGTTGTTAAATAACCAGATAAAACCCTGGTTCGGTTGAACAATGTTGCCATATGGACAGGCTTTAGAGCAGCAGCATTTGACCACTTAACCCAATTGGTACATATAAAACCATCACCACCCGAAAATACTATGGCTATTTTCATAAAGCTCTAATATCGAAATCATTCATTCAAGGGTAGCACATTCACAACATCCAGCTGTGTCCTTTAGGTTGCAGCTGATGCTGATCTATACAGGAGGAGAATGCTTGAAATCTTAGCTGCCTAAATCAGTCTAATCAAACGCTATTTTCAGACTCCAGAAGGCCTACTGAACTGGAAAATTCGCTCCATCTACTTTGCTTACAGAGAAAAATTGAAATCATAAACAATAGCACGCTTTAGAGAAAATTTATACCATCATGATGTAATATGTAAACATTGAGGGAAACAGGGGCAATTCTTCACGTTTAAGTCACATCACCCAGATTCAGGCACATTTCTGAAATGCAGATTGTATCTGCATATGGGCCAATCAGAACAAATTCTTATCTCACTTACAAACACAATAAAGCACACAGAGAGTAACTTAGAAACACAATAAAGAAAGAAGTTACGGAGAGTCAGATAAGCACTTCCTCACATACCTGGATAATGAATGCTATGCCTATATTATATCCATCACTGATTTTCAGAACCTTTTATCATGTTGCATCGACCAGCGATCTTACGAAAATCATCAAGAGTTAGCTGCAACGGAGCCAGTTAAAAATAGCTAAGCATCATGCTATGCTATAGGAAATCTTCAAACAACATCGATTAGCATGAGAACATTACAAGTAAATATGGAAAGTCCAACATATAAATTGAGACCTCATTCACCAATGTATTAAGCAGTTGCAATGAAACAATAATAAGAACACCCTCGTGACAGCGAAGTATAATTAACTTTGAAGCAAGTATTGAGCAGATGGAAAATCAAGCTATGGAAATATAGTCCTGTGCGCAATGCAAACTTGGAATTTGTAGAATGTTATCAAGTGATTCACTAGGCCTAGACAATGTCATTACCAAATAAGAGAAAGAAGTTCTTTGATCATTGATTCAAGATTCAAGTAAGCAGCATAAGAGTACTTGATAATAAGACAAAGTTTCCAGTTACATGACTATCCTTTAACTCACTAAAGCATCCACTTAGAGCAACAGATCAGCAGACCGTTCAAAGTTCCAAGCTAAAACACTTAGAAATAGTGATGGCAATTTGCCCCGCCCTGCCCCAATTTTCCCTGGTCAACGCAGGGATTCCCCACATTGACCAGGAACGGGGCGGGGATGGTATTTGTCTGCCCCACCCCGTTTGACCATAATTTTTTCTTTTTCATTAAAATTATAATTATATCCTATATAAAATCTGTGACTAGTGACTTTTAGGATTTATTTTCTATATAAACTATAATTTTTCTTGTTATAGTTTGAAATTTGATAGTAGAATGAGATAAGACGAGACAAAAAAATTTTTTTTTGATAATTTTTGCCCCGTTTGCCCCGCTAGTGGCCCGCGGGGATGGTATGAAAAAATTTTCCCCGTTCGGGGTACGGGGCGGGGATGGGGCAAAATTTTTTAGGGGCAGGGCGGGGCGGGGACGGGATGGCGATCCCCGCCCCGCTCCATTGCCATCCCTACTTAGAAAGTGCCACAGCATTTGGAAAAAAGAATGAAGGCAGCAAGAAATGACCTTCCCATCTCCATCACCATCAAAGCAATGTATCATATCAGCCAATTCCTGGTCTGTCCATGTAAAATCATGAGTAATTGCTACTCTTCGTAGATCTCTCATTGTTATGGCCCCTCTTCCTGCTTCTGCAAGGTGACATTTCCCGCATAAATTACTCTGAGACTCTTTCAGGATATCAAGAAATAAGACAAACAGGATTTTGCTTTCAAAACATTAAAGTGATATAGGTTTAAAGTTTAAACAAGAATGGTCTGATAAAAGATTTAAGGTCCAGAAGCTTAGTCATCTTATGAGGAGTGAGGCAGCTTCGTAAACTCAGGCCTTCTGGACTAATGATAATGTAAGCACTTGCTGAAGCACTCAGGTTCCTTCAAATAGACAAGGAAACCCAATACAGAGCTTACACCCAAACCAGATTCTTCCTCTCTATCTCAATCCCCTTTCTTCCAAAGCTAATGTGAGAACTCACAAAGAAATAAAATTCACAATTTTTGGATTATCCATCTCCCTTCCCCAATAATACATATACACAGAAGACACAGATGTTGCAAATTACCATCAAACTGAAAGAAATGCAAGACAAGGTCATCCTCGGTCATCTGCACCCGACTACTGAACTGCTGACACATAAGAGAAACAAAGAAAAAATTATAAGAGGAAAAAGAAATGAGTAGAAAATAACAAAAATCGGCTCATCATAAACACAGATCTGAGCGAAAACAAACCGATTTTTTCCTCTTCCTCCTTCCTGCATCTTCTTGAACATGAGCATCTCCCTTTCTTTCTTTAGGAGTCGCATCATTTGCAGAATCATGCAATGACAGAGCAATTGCCTGTATAAGAATGCTGAAGAGTTAATTTACCACCATCTGTACAATAATATGGAACACAAATAGAATAACCTGGCAATAAAAATACACCATACTCATCAAAATTTACCTGCATTAATTCATCATCATCGCCATCAATATAATCTGCACTACTAAGATGCTTCTGAACAGGAGTTTTCTTAGGTTTTGAACCTTTCCTCTTATCCTGGAATAAAAAAGATAAGCAAATAGAATGCCCATATATTAATTAAAGTATTTCAAGGCAAGCTCAAAGGTCATGGCCTTGCATATCTAAAACTGCAAAAAAAAAAAAAAAACACTAAACAACACAATAAATACTTCCTGACAAAGGGTGAAAACTGAAATGTATGCAGGTTCTTTTATATATATTAGGGTGAGGTATTGAAGTAGAGTTGCACGAAAAACAACACTCAGATACAGAGGCAGATAGATTAGAGCAAGGTGTGACATGAGAAGTGGACAATCTTAATTCTTATTGGGATAGGATGTACATGGCAGGGGAAGAACAGCGCACATTGATGGGTGCAAGCATATAAATTTTGAAATGCTCAATCTTGTGAGTAAGAAAACAAATAAATAAATATAGGATGTTGTGACATCAAACCATTTTGATATGAAGAGTGAGTTAAATGCAAGAACATTTCATTTTAACCTACAAATTATCATTGTCAAGAGAGAGGGAGAAACAAATTATAATTGACTCATTTTCCTCGAACTTTATTATTTTTTTATTTTTTTTCCCCTAAATTTTGCACCATATTGGCTCCTTTTTTTGGGACTTTTCTCAAACAAGTAGTGTGTATTCCTCTTTTACTCCAGTCAGTGTTCACCTTTCTATCTACCTTCAGTTTCTATCCCCGCTCTGGTTAAATGGTCCATTTTTCGTCTCTTACTATCATCAATACATGATAAAAGGACAAAGCCCACGTTTTCACTCTCCACAGTCCCAATATTATATATTAACATTAAAACCATGAAAATGTGAATAAAAACTGGCAATGTTTCTTATACAAGAAATATATACAATACCTTACTTCTCCCCGACTTCGAAGAAGATTGACCACTCACAAAATCTTCATCGTCGTCATCGAGATCATCGTCATCGTCATCACTAGGAGTCTCATCATTGGGCCTATATTCCTCGTCATCAACAAATTTTTGTTTTCCTTTTCGTTGCCTTGACTTCCGCCCCGAACCCATCAAAGAAGTTGCCATTTTATTAAGACCCAGAGCCTCCATTCTGGCTTTATTCTCTGCAATTCTCGATAGTCTCTGCTTCTCATACTCTGTTATCCCCTTCTGCGTCCCCACTTCTTCTCCTCCTTCTTCCGAACTTGGATTCCCTGAATTCTCGCTTTCATCGGACTCCGAACCCGACGGGTCTGGCTTCGCCATTCTGATTTTCAGTATTGTCTGATAAAGCTTTCAGTCAGAGCCGCTGCGAGGGTTTATCTAGGGCGGTGTTGTTTTTTCCCCAGTGACAAAATTGCCTTCAGAAATCGCCACGTTTGCAATTAGTTAACGATATTTTCAAACTTACCGCGAACTAAGGGCAAACATCAAACAAGCCCCCCAATTATTAAAATAATAATAATAAAAAAATTCTTGATTAAGGTTATGTTTGGTATGAATTTTGTAAATTGAATGATGTTTTTTTTTTAATTTTTAACTTAAATAAAAATCAGAAATATATTTCGTTAGAAATAATTTTTAACTTAAATAAAATATTTGTTACAAAATTGAGTTAAAATTTTGATTTAATTAAAAGTTGAAAATTTTAACTTTTAATTTATGGATTATAACTTATACTATATTGCTTCTTTAAAAAAGTTATTTTGAATCATTTTTACAAAACATGTTTTTAATTTGAATTTATTTTAACTTATTTTTGTATAAAATTACTTTTAAAAAATAATTTTTGAACTATAACTCAAAATAAAAAAATCATTCAAAAATCACGCCAAATAAACCTTGAGTTCCTATAAAATAATTTAGTCTCCATTAGTTCAAAGGTTTTTGTATAGTTAAAACTGAGATTATGTTTTTATAAGAAATTTGACATTTGTTTTTACAAAATTGTAAGGTGTGTGGCAAAAAACTCAATTAGGAATTTTTGAATAGTTTGGGAACTCAATTGAAAGCAATAATTCTCTGAAGACTCAGTTAATACTATCTCTACCGCGGGAGGAGGGGGTCGTTTTTAGGTTTGCCCAAGAACCAACTTCGGATTTTACTCCGATACGCGCACCGGAAGCAATTTCGACCAATCATTCCTTACATAAAAACCAGGAAAGTTCTCCAGCTGCTATGAATCTCTCTAAAAAAATCAGCGTTTTTTACCTAATTTTGTACTCTCTCTGTTTTATAATTTACTTATTTCAATCCCTGATTCTCAACCGCAAGTATGTATCCGTATCTGAAACTCGGCCTCCTCTTAAAAGTATCAAGAAATCGTATTCCGGTTTGCGCCAATGGCATTTTGGCTAAGCGGCAGTCAATGACGGCTGTAGCTAGAGCTGATCCTGATAGGATCGGCGAAGACAGTGCCAAACAGGTAATTAAAACGATTTTACTCCGATACTCGCCCTTTTCATTTATGCCGAGGGAAATTCTAAGATTGTCATACTTACATCGAGGAGACTAATGGGAGAGTAACGTGAGGAATCGTATTTTTTTCAAAATAATTTTTACAGATAGATTGCATGTATTTAAAGTTGACAATTGCGAAAATATATCCTATATCAATAGGATAATTGCATTAAGCACGGAAGCATATTCATCGAGTGTATATATGTGTTCCTATCCGTGCGTTCTAGTTGCCAAGTTGATAAAACAATATACCACAAATAATTGCAATAACCAAAACCCTTTTTATGCTTGTTCATTATAATCTAGCATTGCAATGAATGAAGGAAGTAATAGCGTATGCCACATGATATTATTCCTGTACATGACCTGGAAGTGCAAAGAGTTGCTAGTAGTTCCGGGAATTGCTAGTAATTCTTTTCGTTCGTGATGGAGAATAATATTTTGTGGTGGTGGACTCTACTAATTCCTAGAGCGCCCATTTTCTTATGGAGAAGTATTGGAGGAATTTTGGTTGTGTTTGTTATCATTAGCATATCTCTCGGATGGTAATAAATTTGGCCTTTTGTTTTGTTAACTTGGCAATTCTATGCTATTTACTGTTTGCTAACGTACGTGGAGGGTTCTCGCAATTGTAAGTGATTTTAATATATGCAATCTTCTGATCTACCTTAAGAAGAAGTTTTTTATGAAGTAAATATCTTGCGCATCTCCTCGCATCTTTCCTGCTGTAAAATCATTTCATAATCTCGGCAAGGATTAGGGATGAAAATAGGTAGATACTCAATTCATTAATTTAATTTTTTATCATATTTATAAAAAGAATATTACATTTATTATTTATTAAAAAATTATTATATAAATTTTTATTCGGTCTATATTCAATTCATTCTGGTTTACCTCTTCATTTAATATCCATTAAATATCGACTAAATTTAATTTATTAAAAATATTCATTTTAATCATTATAATTTTTAAGAAAAATTTTTTATCCTTAAAATCTAATTTATTTTTTTTTTGCATGATAGTCATTTATTTAAAAGCTTTTTTGGTCTTTAAAGTTTTTAAAAAATATTTTGATACTTAATTTTTAAATTTTATACAAATAGATTACGTATGTTAATAAAAAAATCTAAATAAATTAATGGATATTAATTGGATAAAAAGTGGATATGCATATTTCAAAATCATATTAATAGATAAGTATTTTTTATCCTTATTCATTTCAATACTCATTGAGCATTATTAATGAGTATTTATTAGATTGGATAAAAAATATATATGTTTTATATCCAACTCATTGCCATCCTTAATTTAGATCCAATGATTGCTAGAGGTGCCTCAGCTCCTCAACGGCAACATGATGCTAACTTGATAAGGGGGCTGGATTTGAAATGCTGGTTTTCACAAATGATAAAATCTTTTTTGTCATAGCAAAATTTAATCAGTCGTAGATTTAAGGATATTTAAATATATATGTTAATCAAAGAGTTTGTAGTTTAATCACAATGATTTCTTACAATAAGAGGTTACGAGTTTAAATTCTAACAGATTATTTTTATCAAAAAAATTAAATATGTGAGTTAAATATATATATATATATATATATATATATATATATATATATATATGCTAACTTTCAAATTGAAAAAGGACATTGTTTGAAAATAAAAGAGGCTTCGATTTCCATAACCGGCAACATTTACTATATCTCCAATCATCCTAAGTGAGAATAATATGCGATTGACAAGCAACTTATATATGGTGAAGTCCAAAGAAACTAGTGAAGCTGGAATTTCGAGACACTTCAAAGTACCTTTGCTATATCTCCATAATTGACTAATTTTGTTAAGAGATTTAAATGCGTGAGTTAAAAAAAGGTATATATGCTAACTTTCAAATTGGAAAATGACATTATTTGAAAATAAAAGAGGCTTCGATTTCCATAACCAGCAACATTTTCTTATCTCCAATCATCCTAAGCGAGAATAACATGCGATTGACAAGCAACTTATATACGGTGAAGAAACGAGCGAAGTTGGAATTTGAAGACACTCAAAAGTAAATTTAGTGCGGTGCATTTGCAATTTATTTATTTATTTTGCTTCTTATTTTGCTTGTCTGTGAGGGGTGAAATGGATTTTTTCTTTGTTGTGATGATGAAACGGGCCTCCTGAAAAGCTACCCTAGAAGAGGATAGACAGACCCAATAAGGTCATAGTACAAAACATGGAGTAAAGCAGGAGGAGGATCATCAACAATAGATTCTCCTACAGGCCTAGAAATTCCCAAATTTACCATGCAATCAGCGGCGGCATTGGCTTCTCTAAAAGCATGTGGAACTGTCACCACCCACGTTCTGGAAAGAAGACTTTTAGTCTGGAAACCAAATCCAAATTAATTTGCGCCAGCCTGAAAGTGAACTCGAATTAGGAATGTGAACCATACTGCAGAATCAGATTCAAGAATAAGCTTTCGGTATCCATTGAGCCAAGCTATGTGTTGAAGATGTTGTAGGAAGTCGAGAAGAGTCATTTTTCACCTGGAAAGAAGGATTCTGTTTCATAGCTTCAACGGAAAGCATGTCAACTAGCGAAAAGAATCATTTTTTGGACTTGGGAATATATTTATTTAATGCAAGGCCCATGTCAGCCCTCGCCACTGTTAACGCAAGTGTTGCTTTGCAATAATGAAGTTCGCAGTCCATTCATTCTAATGGGCCCAATACTATTGCCATATTAATTCGGACATGATAAATTAATTTATACTGTATTTCCAAATTACCAAAATTCCCCTTTCATTAATATGAACAGCGAACACTACTCTGCTCATTGATTTTAATTAGATGTTCTTGAAAATAATGAACGAACTGGAAGCCCGCAAGATGGTGACCGTGCTGAGAACATCCAGTTTTTTTTTTTTTCTCTTGAATTCAAGAGGATTTCCTGCTGGAAAATCTAAATTCATACATATTTATTCTCGCGTTTACCACTCCTGCACTAGTTTCTCTGCAGCTTAACAATTATTTTCCATCTGATATTGTGATATACATTAATTAATTCAGATGATAATCAATTAAAAAAAATTGTATAGGTAATATGTTGATTTCAAGTAATTATTGTGAGGATGAGATTTAGTGGACTCGCTCACTTCTCTATGCCACACGTGAAAGTCCAACAGAATGCATTTTGATTCTTTGAATTTAAACATTTCACTCTCATGGTTCTAATTATTTAAATGGATACCTAACACGTAACATCGGCTTGGTGTTGTAATTAGTAGGATAAATGATTCAATATGTTATTATTTTAATTGGGTTTATTATATTCTTAAATAGTGTCTTATTATTTAATTAATCCTTCTGACCATCTTTTTATCACAAGCTTGCGCGTAGGCATATGATAAAAAATTATTCTTGAAATATCTTCTGATTAAAATGCAGGAAAAAAAAAGAAACAAGTCTTTAAAATACGTTCAGGGATTAAAAAAAAAAAAAAAAAAAAAAACTATTGATAAATGTAACAACCTAAAATTGACTACGACTTGATTGTGATATAATTTAATAGTGATGTGAGAAAGTTTATTTGAGAATACACCAGTCATTCAATTATGGCCTCATTATCTATCTCTATCTTATACCTATCAAAGGAATAACAATTAATCTTGGTGGTTAGGATAATGACTTTTTGTTTTATTTTTTTAATAAAAGTAGAAAGATAGGCATCAAACTATCCTTTTATTTGAAAGAGACTCCACCGTGCAAGCCACTATAAGTAACATTCAAACTCTTGAACTTCATAATTCAATACTCAATAGGAAAAAACCTCGCTTTATGCTGCACAAATCTGTATCTGTGCCATGACAATAACTTCGATAAAACACAGCAAGGCCATGCGGTCCATTCCAAAGCCAAAATCGACATGACACGGGCCTCATCCTCTATTGCAATCAATTGTCACCTTGTCACTTAGCTTCAAGTTGTTGACCAACAAATTTTTGTTATGCGATCACTTCTGCATTAAAGAAATATGGCTTGAATGCGTCATTGAGGTCGCAGTCCAGTGATAAGGTTAAGAGTTGCTCATCGATAATACTCGGGTTCGAATCTCTTTATGCACGCCTGCCACCCCCACGATGTTTTATCCGTTCACCGAGTTTATAGAGTGTTCAGTAGACTGAGGATTAATCGAGATGTGCGTAAGTTCACCCGAACACCCTAGGTTATCAAAAAAATATATATATGGCTTCAACCATGTCAACCTTAACCAATCCAGAAGAAATTAAAGAGGTCCACAAACGACAAACCCTAAAAGAAATTCCACCAACCAATACTTGTTAAGTAGTTTTCGGTGGCAAAATGAAGTCAATGTCATTGCTACAACCTTTAGTGCCATCCGAATTATGATAAAAGTGAGGAAAACCAAATCATGATGGCCTGGTCTCTTATCCCATAGCCGAAAGAACTATACTGGTATTATTACTCGTAGTAGCTAGGTCCGCGCTTGCCTGCAAAGTTTGTGTGTAGTTTTTGTTATGATTTTTATTTTCATAATATTTTTTAAAAAAATTAAAAATAAATTTAACATTGACGTCATTAGAAACTGCATCAAATAAGTTTATAGAATTCACAGTGGAAATCTCTAATTTGATATGCAAATACTTTTTTAGCAAATTAAAAAGGTACAGAACTTGGAGGAAAAGAAAAAAATAAATAAATAAAGATTTATGAAATTTTGTTATTTTTTTGCTTAATTCTAAATTTTTATTCTCTCCATGTAAAGGGGTTCTTTTGTTTTTTCCTTATTCGTTTGCTATCAAATTTCATATTCAGATTACAAATCTCTATGAATTTTCTTGGCTTTTTTTTTCTTTTATATCCAGGTTTCATATTTTTTTTACTTCCAAAACATGGAAAGGTTACACATAAATCTTAATCTAGTTGTCCTTCAACGTCTTTAGTTACACTAGTACTAAACGAAAGATAGAGAATTACTTAACATCATAGTGATATGATTAACATATTGACGTCTTAGTTATAGAATTATTTATTAAACTTTAAAAATCACGTCCTAAAACATAATAAACATTTTGATTGCTATTCAATTTAAATTCTTAATTGTATCTAATTTTTTGAAGTAATAATTAATATAAATTGTATTGCTTGATATCATAATTTAATAACAAAAGGAGTCGATTGAAAACTTATTATAAGGATGTCATCACGTCAATGATGCATAATTGAATCTTTATCCCATTATAAACTCTTAAACAACTTCACGGAATTCCATATAAAGTTAATATGGTATTAGAAACGGGTGCTTGCCTGTTTTTAACTCATGCATTTCAAACCAAGGCTTATGACAAGAGCTTTCAATCAACTTAATAAAAAAATAATTAACAATTAACATATTGTAATAAAATGTGATTAAAAATTTTTAGTTTACATTTTTTATATATTTTCTTTTTCTTCAAACTGAATACTTAATTTTTAAATTTCTCTGATTTTTATGTGCATATGTGGTAAGAGAGATCCATTTATGTTTTAATTTTTTAAATAAAAGGTGAAATATTATTGGCTGGTATCTAGATCCAATAACTCATAAGCAATTCATATATCTCTATTCTTTAACTCCTTGTGTTTTGCATCTGATTTATTGTATGTTGATATTAATTCATAATTCATTATTATACAAAGAAAAGTGCTTTGCACCAATTATTTCTCAAGGGAATTAATTTCCACCTACAGACACGGTCCAACGAGGTTTAAGAGTTCCAAATTCCTGTAATTTCACATGGACTTGTTTGTTTTACTTCTCTCCTTCTTGGCATCTTGTATGCTTCTGCTTACAATCTTCTATCCAATAATAGCAACACATGGCTTGCCTGGAATGTCCAACGCATGGTACGTTTGTCTGTGCCCTTTTATCTCTTCTCTTTCTAATTCAACATTAAAACCTGATTACAAGATAAATAAGAATTCCAAAACCTAATAGTTCCATGTGCTAGTTGGCTTACTCTCCTACTAATTATTTCTCTCTGGTTTTTTTTTTAGGGACTCAGTGTATTGGCTATTCTGGAATGGAAGAATTATCTTACATGTGCTTGCAAGAAGTGAATGTTGGGTTTGGGTTGACCTCGATGAGATAACCATAAAACAAAAGGACGGAGATAAGAGAAGATGATAGGATAAATAGAAAGTAAAATTAAAACCCTTGGTTTGGAAACTAGCCAACAAATCCATGCAAAAGTCCTTGTGGAGCCAATTCTCCACCAAACACAGGTTTAATGATAAGAAAGTTTTGTTTTTATTCTATTACGATTTACTAATTTCATATTTTCAGTATTAAATTACGTAATTTGATCA